GAAAAGGGGTTAGTTTTTTAAGGGGAAAAAAGCCAAAAGAAGAAAAGGAGTTTGCTTTTTTTAAAAGCTTGAGGATAATGGGGATTTGATAGGAAGAGGTAAGTGAGGCAAGTTGAGCAAAGATATTCCAAAAACTTGAGAGGGCATAGCCATTCACACGTTTAGGGACAAAGGGAAAGTGATAAACTAGAGTACAAAAACAAGCCAAGTGAGGTCCATATGTTGTAATTGCATTGTACAAAACTCTTTGGCTTTTTTCTAGCAATAGATCCACCTGTCCCAATTCTTTCCACACTCACAAGTTACCCTCCTCGGATAAGAGTGAATGCCCTTTAATTAATTTCTCTAGTGTCACTTTCACTTATCTAGCACTTTATAATACATCCATCAAGTGTGACTTTTCTTATCTCATCTTCAAAGTCTCTTATACTAATAAATTATAATTAACTCGCTTCACTATAGCATTGAAATAACATAAAAAAAGAGAGCAAGCACTAAAGGGGTATTGGCCACATTTTTAATTGGAGTTGGTTGAGCATTGCGCTTGGGTTTTCTTCTTTCTTAATGTTTTGTAACTTTGTGATCATAAATGGGTTTGATGAGGTGCTTAAATAATGCACAACAAAGTTACATATATTATAGTTCAACGTAAGACCTTAAGAGTATTCCATGGGACCCAATGGTCAAGTATATATCTAAATTTAATTAATGGGTGCATGGTAGCTAACAAACGATTGGGACAAAAGCAAGGCACTACAAGCGATTGTAGCTGTGTGGTTCCATCACACTCACACGTAGCTTTCTTCACAAATTGCTTGTGGGATTTTGGTGAGGGTAAAACTTCTCGAGGCTTCTTACACGTAATGTGAAAATGATTCGTGCCATGTGTTCTATGTTTTACGTGCACAATTTAAACACTTTGTTCTACGTGATCATTAATCTTCAAATCTCATTCCATCGTCAAACTATCAAAGCTGATGGATTTTAGGTAACATTCACATGCCCCGTGATCCTCTACTTTTAAGGATGTTGGTTAAATTTAGTTTGTATTTAACATATTTTATTCACTAGTTTAACTTGTTATAAAAGTAAGTATTAAACCTTTTTTTTAATCTTTGATATGATAAATGTTTTTTCTTTTGGTTTAAGTGATAAGAGGGTTAGTCTATAGGTAAAACCAAGTTATAATTTCACTTCAAGTTTACAATTTTTTTTGTAAAAATCTTATCAACATAGAATTATTCTTTTTCTGAAAGTGAACATAGAATTATTAGTTAAGTCAAAGTTACATTCAAATCATCAATCCAAAAATTGGCATTAGAGCGAACGGTTTTACTGGTTCTGATATTTGACAATATATATATCTGTGTGTGTAATTAAACTTCTCTTAAAAGTTAAAAAATAATTTATACTTATCTATTTTTTTAATAAATTTTTATAAAATTTATAAAACTTCTCTTATAATATATATATATATCCTGGATCAATGTTGAATCTTTAGCTATGGTAATTAGTTAGTTTAACACATATGTGAAGACAAATCTCTTCTTGATTTTAGGTTTCCTCAAAAGACTTTTGCTTAACGAGAAACACTAATATTTAAACTCACACTTAGAGTGAATTTTATATATTATTAAAAAACTTTTAATATAATAATTATAGAGTAAAATATCACAAACTAATTATTATTTATAAACTTAAAGGAAAATATATTCTTTCTCCATTTTTTTTTCATATAAACAATATAAAAAATCACTTTATTACCTTTTTGTTTTTTCCCTCACATTTTTTACCAATATTCTTTTTTACTTTATTTTATCCATTCTCTTTCTAATTTCCCTTTTCATTTTAAATTTTCAAATCATTAAGTATTTTGAACCTTTGCCACTCCTTTCTTATATAATCGTTGTCTTTGTTTACTTATTTGTTCTTGAATGTCCTAATGACGAAATTAACAAAGATATGAACAAAACAGACGATGAGCTATTAATGTCTTTGCTTTATAATTAAACTATGAGCTTCAATTTTTTTAACAACTAATAGTACTTATATAACTGTGTTTGCTTGCTTTGGTGAGAGATACTTCATGAGGTTTTAAATGTAGACTAATATATTATAAATTTATTATTATAATTGAAATATTTTATTAAATAAAATAAGATATTATAAATAAATTTATGTTATAACTTTAACTATTTTATTGTAGAAAAATTTAGAAAATATAATAGAAAGAGGAAGTATTAAGGGTTTATGAAATTTAAAGAATAAAAAAAGAAATATAATAAAATAGTGAGGATAAAAAGTAAAAAAAAACTCAAAACTTATAAACTCAAACACAAATATTATATAAAATAGTAATCCAAAAAATGTTATAAAAACATCCTAGTAAAGTAAATTTCTTTAATAAATATATTTAATTCAATCAAATAATTAATTTTTTTTTATCTAAATTATAAATAATTTTACTAAAAACAATCATATTTGAGTCAAGTAAAATCATTCTAAACGAATTTTTCTTCACAACTTCATTTATCCAGACTCAAAATCAATACCAAATATTCAACTGGAACAAATTATAAAGTTATTTACTAAAACAAAAATTAAATATATAATTAATTTTAATATGTATTATGTAACATTGATTAAGGATATATTGAATGAGCTCAATATATTATTTATTTGCTTGTTAACTACCAGAATGAAAGTAGTGTGGAAATTTAGTGTATATAATTATATTTTTAACATTTTAAATTAATTATTAAAAGACTCTTGAAATTTCAAGAAGGGTCGTTTGAAATTTCAATCTTTCATCATCAAGGAAGTATCACATTCTTGTTGAACAACTTAACCAAGTTTACTTGTTGAAATGAAAAGTGCCACTGATTCTTGATGCAAATCTTCATGGTTGCTCAAAAATCTTCCTTTTGCTTGATTCCAATTAATATATATATACATATATATATATATATATATATATATATATATATATGTATGAACAAGTTTGAATTGAAACATGTAAAAAGCGACGAGAATCTTTATCTATATCACTTGAAATTTGTGCTCGATTGAAGAATAAGGCATAAGTTCATCTATCAATAGAGGAATAAGGTGTAAATTAAGATGCAATAACTTCGTACTAGTTAATAATTTTTTTAAATAATATATGGTTATTATATTTTAACAACAATGCCTTCATTTAAATTTTTTATTTCCAAAATTCATTATTTAATATATGAAAAAAGCAACTGATAAATAAAATATATAATTACAGTAATTAATTAAAATATGTGGAGATCAAATTACTTCTTTTATAAATGTTATTATATTTATAATTTTGAATAAATTCAATATCATCGTCCAACTGCTAAATTATATAATATTACCATATTAATCATACATATAAAGTTTTAGATAAATAAAATTGTCATAAATATAATATTTATTTATATTTTAAAAAATATATTATATTAAAATAAAGTTACTTGATAAAGTGTTAACTAAATTTTGATTTATATAAATTTTTATAAATTTAATAGTTTAATTGATAAAATTAAATATTTATAAAAATATTAAATAAGGTAATGTTAATACAAGGAGCTTAATTTTTACTCAATTGAAATTCTACAAAATTAATTAAGAATATGCTTAAAACAAATAAATAAATTTTAAATTTCTAAAATAAAGAAACGAAACATAAATAAAAATAAAATTAACAAGCAAATGATAAGAAATCGAGGGGATAATTAAGTTCTTTTAATATATTAATTAGTGTGTATGTGTAGAGGAAACAATATTGGAAGAAATTAATTACACTTGGATAATCAATCTTTACACTAAATAATTAATCTTTAATTATCAGTTAGCAGATATGCTTGATTAAAAAATTTTTCACTTTATATAATTCTGTTATGTGTTTGAGTCGAACACAAATGACTCATTCTGATTTGTATCTTTTTAATTTTACAATAATATTATATCTTTGATAACAAAATTTTGTACCTAGGGTTTGTTCAAGTTAGAATCTCAGACAAAAAATTTAATAGTAGACGTTTTGGTGTGATATTGTATGTAATATTATATATAACTTTTCATATTAATTTTAAATATATATTAAAAATTAATAAATAAATAAAAATTATTAATAAAAACAGAATATATCATATACCCTTACATTAATAATGAGTTTTTCTAAATGTTATTTTCATAAATCATGATGAAATTAAAATAAATTTTACCTTGGGAAATTCCTTGAATTGTTGTTTCTTTCTTTCTTTTTTTACTCTTTTATTAGTGTTTTCTTTACTTCTTCTCAATTAGTGTTAAGACAGGATTAACGAAAAAAATAGTAATTAACATTGTCTTTAAATGATGATACACAATTTTTTTTTAAAATCATAAATAAAAATAAAAATATATCATCAATATAATTTTTGATATTTTTAATTATTAGAAAAAATTTAAGTAAAATTCATTAAAGAAAGAGTAAAAATTTTATTAAATAATGAAAATCATAAGTTTTAACCAATACTCTTTTAGGTATTTTTTTTTTTTATAAAAAATGAATTCATTAAAATTAATAAAAACAATAATTATATACGTCATAAGTTGATAGTGTATTTTAAAAATAAAAATACTTACAGTATTAATCAACTAAATTCATAACTTATATATTAAACGACTACTACTACTACAACTAATAAATTAACTAAAGAAAATATTTATAATATTTAAAAAGTGAAATGAAAAATAAATAAAAGAATAGTTTTTATAACTAAAAATATCATATAAGAAACTATTTGAAAAATAAAAATAAAAGATTAAATAAAAATCATATTTAAAAACAAAAAATTAATTAAACAAATTATTAGCATTTTATTAAATGTTATTTAAATAGATTGAAATAGAAAGGGTGGTTAAAAGATGACATCAGTTTCAGAAGTGGTCAGTGTTAGGTGAGTCTAACTCCAAAAATGAAAACAGTGACATTTACTGCATGTTGTTGGAGATTGTTAATGCCATTGCTCCCTCTTTTGCACTCTCTCTCTCCCTCTCTCCCTCTCTCCCTCTCTCCCTCTTCAAACACACACATAGATATCATCATCATTGTCTCACACACAGCCATGTGTAGAATTAGTAATTGTTCGCTTCATTTTTCATTCATCACCCAAAAATATTCCTTCTACGTAGAATCTCAACTACGGGTTATAACAACACAATTACATTAAAAACAGCAAAAAATTAAAAAACACACATTCACTAAGCAACAAACACCTTCCTTCTCTGTTCTCTCTCTCTTACACGCAAAACACACACATATATTCATTATTTTAATCTTGTTTTCTTCAAGCTCTCACTCCAACAACATAAGCAGCAACAACAACAACCCTTCCTCGTCACAGCACCATTCTCTAAACTCCTTTTGTTGGTTGTGTTTCGTGTTTGTTCTTCTTTTGTCTGCATTTGTCCCACTTTTGTTTTTTTTTTGCAAATATAATATATAAATATTATTAAAATACCAACAAAAAGAGGGTGGTGGGAGAAGAAAAGTAGTAGCAGGGGTTACACTGTACCATTACCAAAGCCACTTTTTGTCTCATAAAATTTTTAGCTTTTTCATTGACTTGTTGTTTGAAATTGAAACTGTGGTGTGTTTGGTGTTTTAATTCATGAGGGGTCCTCTATATCTAGCTCAGCAAATGCTTGTTTTGTAGTTCTCAGAAGAAACTGAACCCTATCATGGATCTTGAGTCAGTGATCCACAAGAACCCAATTAAGGTATCGCTGTGTAGAATAAGAAACATGTTTCAAAATTTTTGCTTTATCATGATTAATCATCATGGTCATGTTGTTGTAGGTGGAATCATGGAAGACAGTGCTGACTTTGGCATATCAGAGTTTGGGGGTTGTTTATGGAGACTTGAGTACTTCTCCACTTTATGTTTACAAAAGCACTTTTGCTGAGGATATTCAGCATTCAGAGACCAATGAAGAAATCTATGGTGTCTTGTCTTTTGTGTTTTGGACACTCACACTGATTCCACTGCTCAAGTATGTGTTCATTGTGCTGAGAGCTGATGACAATGGTGAAGGAGGAACCTTTGCTCTATATTCCTTGTTGTGCCGCCATGCCCGTGTTAGCTTGTTGCCTAACACTCAGCTTGCAGATGAGGACTTAATTGAGTACACTATAGATAATGGAACTGTTCCCATCAATAAGAAGAATGTTGGATCAGGCTTGAAGTCCTTGTTGGAGAAGCACAGGGTGCTGCAAAGGGTGCTTCTTGTTCTGGCTTTGATAGGAACTTGCATGGTTATTGGGGATGGTGTGCTCACACCAGCAATTTCTGGTATTTGGGATTTGTGATCATAGTATTGTGTTAATTTTGGTTGCAAGTGGTGAACAAAGAACAAGTGGTCTTAATTGGTAACTCATTTTTGTTGTGTTTTTGGTCTTCGTGCAGTTTTTTCTGCTGTGTCAGGTTTGGAGCTTTCCATGTCTAAAGAGCAGCACAAATGTAAGTCTTTTTTCTAAACACAAACAAAAGCAACCTGTTTTGTCTACATAGACCTTTCATTTCTCTTCTTCTTTTTCTTCTCCATTAACTTTTAATGCGGTACTAGATTTGTGTAGTAAAGGTGGTTAAGGTTTAATTTCTATGACGGTTACTTGCAGCCAAGCAAAAGGTCTATTGGATAATGGAATTCACTAGCAGAAAGTTGTCCCTTTTTTATTTTAATTTTAATACACAAGATTCTTTATTCATTCATTAAAATTTTAATTGGAGATACTATATATCTAGCTTAAAATTGCAGATTACACTATTTATGAAACGTTTTGAATTTGTTCCCAGGAATTCAACTTTGATCTATAGATTTCAAAAAGCTTGGTATCTTAAAAAATTCTGGGGAATATGTTCCCACAATAATTTAGAAATTTAGAATAATGCTCATTGATTGTACTATTTTATAATATATTATACTGCAGTTGTCTTAGCTGGCTATGCATTCCCAAAGGATGATAGAACTTGTGCCCCTTTCAATGGCATATATGCTGTAAAGATATTAATTGTGAAAGTATTCTAGTTGGGCATCACAATAGATTTGTTTAATGCGTGAATAAAATCTTATTTGAACCATCACAAGACTTACCTTTCGTTCCTCCCATCTCAAGTCGTTTAAGTTAGTGGACAAAAAGGTGGAACCAAATGACTACAAGTGCATGCACAATTGTGGGTCCTCGTAAATATTTTCGTGGCAAATATCCTTGCTTTGATCAAAGCTAAGTCACTGTCGTGGTAAAACTTGTATTTGAATACGTAATTGATTAAAATAACAAAAAGTACACATGAAACATGTGGTCAAGATGTAAAGTCTAAAGCCACTATTAAGGGGTTTTAAGTATTAAAAAATACTTCTTTTGTAAAGTTAAACTTTCATTAGGTTATGATATGAAGCATTATGGTTTGGATGAGACTTCAATAAGGTCCTGTGGATCAATCTAGAGGAGTCATCTGATTATATCTGATTGGAAGAAAAATTAGGTATGGCCACTATTAGACTGGTCATGAACAGTGCCTGCAATTCCACTGAGACATAAATGATGATTATCTATGGTACCTCAACTAAATCTAGACCTAATTCTATCAACTTCAAAGAGTTGAAGCGATGCTTTTCTATATTGATCTTACTTTTGTCCTAGGATAATTTAACATCTGTATCAATATAATGGAAAGTCATTTGAATCACGATTAATAACAAATACTTTTAGTTCACCTCAATTACTGAATTTCTATACTAATCCTTTTGCTGGTATTGTAATAATAACACTTGACTCCTTCAACAATTTTATCTCTCACATTCAGATTTTGCAAATTTCTGGCAATATGTTCTGAAAGGTTGATTTATGGACCAGTAAAAGTACCAATTGCAATATGCTTTTGATATAATTATAACTTTTTTTTCTAAGCAATCAAACAATACCTGTAATTTAATGGCTAATATTCCTCTTAACAATAGTATATGTTCCTTGGACAAACATTAAGATTAAAATTTCCACTTCTTGTACTTTGCTTTTCACTTCCACTGTTACATTGGAGCTAATTGGTTTTGCAGATGTTGAGGTTCCAGTTGCTTGTATAATACTGGTGTTTTTGTTTGCTCTTCAACATTATGGAACTCACCGTATGGGATGTCTTTTTGCACCTGTTGTGTTGACCTGGCTCCTATGCATCAGTGCTATTGGTGTTTATAATATCTTCCATTGGAATCCACATGTTTATCAAGCTCTCTCCCCATATTACATGTTCAAATTTCTGAGGAAGACCCAAAAGGGAGGGTGGATGTCCTTGGGTGGGATTCTACTGTGTATAACAGGTATGGAGCAAGTGCATCAAATTGTGTACTAAAGTTCTGACATATGCTTTATATTTCTCTGATATTATCATCTGTGTCCAGGTTCAGAAGCCATGTATGCTGATTTAGGACACTTTTCACAATTGTCAATTAAGGTACACAAATGCATCCTTTTATTTGTAATTTTGACTTAAACATTATGTTGAGGAAATATTGGATGGAAAATATTGATGAATTTTCTAAAGCATAAGAAATTGTAAGTGCATTCAAACACAGTTTGTGCATCTGAGGCATTTATTACTGAAGAAATACATATCATCTTCATTATGTCAATGACTTTTACCTGTACAGTTTTACTCTTTTATTAGCTCGATTAATTCATATGAAGAGCTATGATAAGAATATTTACTTCTTAAAGTTGATTGTTAATACCTTCTCTGCATTAGCACTTTTCTTTATCATTGATTACTGAGTATAAATGCATCATTCATGGATACCTTGCTTTGAAGGATGGTTACTTGATAAGAGGCCAAAGTAACAGAAAATGACTATATGGATTATTTACCTTGCAGATTGCTTTCACCTTTTTGGTATATCCTTCTTTAATCCTAGCATATATGGGACAAGCTGCATATCTTTCAAGACATCATACCCTTGAAAGTGACTATAGAATTGGGTTCTATGTATCTGTACCTGGTAGGTTCTCTGTGATCACCTCTATCAAAGAAAGATTAGTATTCACTTTGCTGCATGACTTACTTTTTCCTCTATTCTAGTAAAACTTAGATGGCCTGTTCTTGCAATTGCCATACTTCAAGCTGTGGTTGGAAGTCAAGCAGTCATCACAGGCACTTTCTCAATAATCAAGCAATGTTCTGCTTTGGGATGCTTCCCTAAAGTCAAAATAATCCATACATCATCCAAGATACATGGCCAGATTTACATTCCTGAGATCAATTGGAGTTTGATGCTACTTTGCCTGGCTATTACAGTTGGATTTAGAGACACTAAACGCATGGGAAATGCAGCAGGTACTCTATCTCCAATAAATAATTTCATTTTTCTCTGATAGAAGGGTAGTTGGGTGAAAGTTAGGTAGTTAATTTTTCAATATATATTATTTGATAGAAGGAAGCAGTGGGACCAAGGACGTAGTTTGATTTCAACCCTTTTACCTATTTAAAACATGATGTGAGAGACCATATTGGAGTAGTTCAGTTCAATCCATTTTCATCTCATGGCAGTGACTACACTGATGTGCTATAGTATTATTCTAAATTTTTGAAGTGTCTTAAGCATAATTAGGGAAATAACTATAAATTCTGATCATGATTATATTTTGAAATATTTTTTAAATGAGTTTTTGTTTTCTTTCCATGAACAGGCTTGGCTGTCATAACTGTCATGCTGGTGACCACTTGCTTAATGTCTCTAGTTATAGTCTTATGCTGGCACAAAAGCATTTTGCTAGCAGTTTGCTTCATACTGTTCTTTGGCTCAATTGAAGCACTCTATTTCTCTGCATCCCTTATCAAGTTCCTTGAGGGGGCTTGGGTCCCTATTGCCCTCTCCCTCATCTTTCTAGTTTCCATGTATGTTTGGCACTATGGCACACTAAAGAAGTATGAGTTTGATGTTCAAAACAAGGTCCCTATCAACTGGCTCCTCAGTTTGGGACCTACTTTAGGAATTGTAAGGGTTAAGGGAATTGGCCTAATACACACTGAGCTGGTATCTGGGATCCCAGCCATTTTCTCTCACTTTGTTACCAACCTCCCTGCCTTCCATCAAGTTGTGATCTTCCTATGCATCAAATCTGTGCCAGTACCACATGTAAGACCTCAAGAAAGGTTCTTAGTGGGAAGAGTTGGGCCAAAGGAGTATAGGCTTTATAGGTGCATAGCAAGGTATGGATACCGTGATGTTCACAAGGATGACATGGAATTTGAGAAGGACCTTATTTGTAGCATAGCTGAATTCATCAGATCCGACACCTCTGAATATGGCTTAGGACTTGGTAGTTTTGAAGAAGACACAAAGATGACAGTTGTCGGAACTTCAGCATCAAACTTAGAAGGTGTAAGGATGTCTGAAGATGATCAAGAACATTCTCAAATGGAAGGCCCTTCAGAGTTGATGGAGGTTAAGTCTCCTGAAAAAGTGAGAAAGAGAGTGAGGTTTGTTGTTCCAGATAGTCCACAGATTGACATGGATGCAAGAGAAGAGTTGCTTGAGCTAATGGAAGCAAAGGAGGCAGGAATGGCATTTATATTGAGTCACTCATATGTTAGAGCTAAAAGTGGATCAAGTTGGATAAAGAAAGTTGTTATCAATTATGGATATGATTTCTTAAGGAGAAACTCTAGAGGACCAACATATGCCTTAAGTATACCTCATGCATCTACCCTAGAGGTTGGCATGATCTACCATGTATGAATGAATTTTGGCTTGTAGTGTATCTAGTTTAGTTTTGTAACTAGTGACCTTCTCTGGTTGGTCAAGTCAACCTTACACATGATAAATGGTGGCATTCTGTACAGTGACCCTCCAAGCTTCTTGACAACTAAAGTGCTGCCAACATGTTGTTTTCACATCTTGTTTTGTAATTTTCTTAGTACATAAATAAGTTGTCTGTAGGGACCCTCAATATGTAAGCACTTTCTTATCCTTATGTGTCCTAGCATGAACCTGGGATGCAGGTAAAGTTTAAGATTTCAACAGATACTGTAATGAGTCTTTTGAATGAAAAGGGTTGGTATAGCAGTGGCAAGATCAAGCACTGTGCAAACTTAATATTGTAACATCTCAATTATGCTGTTGTAACTTGATATAGGAATAGGATCCTTATTTGTTTGCATTTGATTGATGACATATTAAGGTAAAAAATGATAAAATAAAAATAGAAAAGGAATTAGTAGTAATCTACGACCTACCTAAACAACTACTGATAAGGGAATGGACCAGAGAAATCCAAGTAAATTACTGTTTGAAGGAACTGCAAGGAAACACTTGAAATATTTATTTATCTCGTGTTCATGTTTCAAATCCATATTTATTAGTTGATAAGCAATGCATACACGAATTTGGGTGCAAATGATGTGTATAGATGTAGGCCTGATTTTTTATTGATAAAAATCAATTTAAAATGTAAAATAATAAAATATATTCATATGAGAAAAGCCTCATATAACTAGAACTTTTATCTTCTAAACTCAGTTGTTTAGTCTACAAATTAACTATAGTAAATTTTAAAAGAAACACGCACTAAAATTGTGGGGAAAAGCTAGTATCAAAGTTTGATTAGACCCCATCCTTAATTATCAAATTATGAATCCAAAATGAAAATGAGTGGTTACAATTTCGCAAATGCTGAACTTTGTTAACTTGTCTTTCTTATATTTGATAATACTTTAACACTTATTTTCCTAAAGAAAAGAAAGGGAATGCATAGATTCCTGTAGAAATTTGATTCGCATTTCGGAATCTTTTAGAAAGATGGAACTTCAAGTTTCTTTGTAAGACTCGTTTGTTTCTGTTTTTAGTTTTTTGATTTTTAAAAATTATTTTTAAAAAGGAAATAAAAATAAAATGTATATTAACAAAAACAATTTATTTTATTTTATTTTATTTTTTATTTTAAAAAAATGTTTTTAAAATCAGAAAACAAATAAGCTCTTATTTTATCTCTTTCTCTTTCTCTTTGTTTACTAATTCATCACCTCTTAATTTTTTTTACAAATTTTACTTTGTATTTTCTGTCTCACCATTCCGACAATTAAAACTTGCTTTAGTTACATCAAAAAGAACTAATCAATAACACATTTTTAATATTGAAAGAAATTTCTTTATTAGATAAGAAATGAGATTTATCAATAAAAATTGGCTTAAAATATTTTCAACCTTGAAATTTTATTTAGTCATTCTTTAATTGAAGCATCAAACTAATTATAATAAGCTTAGTGTAGAGAGAAACATTAATAACATACACTTTTTAACACATTTCTAAATATTAACTAAAATGTATTGAAAATTATAAAAATATGAGAAAGAAATATTAAATTAGAAAAAAGAGAGAGTGAGACCCATATTATTTTTAAAAATTTTAATTAACTTTAATTGATTGTTAAGGATGAGTTAAAAATTGTGTTAATATAAATAAAAAAGATTGAAAAAAATAAATTAATAATAATAATAAAAAAGCAAGCAGGTTAGCCCAACTCATTGCATGAACTAACCCACCCACATTATATGATGAACTATTTAGAGTCATTACACTTAACTCATTTTAATATCTCTAATAAAAAATCAGTTACTCACTGAATAACATAATGTCAAATTGATTGAATTTTTTGTTTTAAAAAATATATATCAGTTTACTTTAAACAAAATTCAATTTTATTTTTTTTAAAAAAAATAGATCATCCACAATAATACATACATACTTTCAGGCTTTAAACTAATATACTTTCCACATTAATTTTTGAAAAGTTACTTATTATTCATATTTAACTTGTGAGTCAATTTTAATTTTTAAGTAGCTAAAATTATTCATAGGTAGTGTGCGATTACTATTATTATTATTATCTAAAATGGATAAACAGCAATGGAACCTCTAAATCTGCATGTGCATGCGTTTCATCATAAAATTCATTCAAAATGATGATACACGAAAAAGGCCACTCCACCATGATTGGTAATAGTTACAAGTAGCGTAACCAAAAAGTTAATTGACCAAAAAGAGAAGCCAAATTTTAATTTTGACCACCAAAGACAAAATAAAATAAAATAAATAAAATCATATTTGAAGAACTTGAAAAGAAAATTCCTACTATGACAGCACACATAAACAGAAGCATCAACCTCTTCTTAATAGTGAATGTGAAATATAAACAAAGAAGCACATCATTAGCAGAGGTGACATGTAAGAAAAAGAGAGCATGAAAATTGAAAAAAGAGAGAAAGAAATAAAGAAGCTACCTCTTGCTTTGGTGTGTGTAATTAATTTGATGGAACTCTCTTTTATGAGCCATTGGGCCACACAATATTCAGTAGCATTGGATCCATAACTAGCATTGCCTTTATTTATTTTGTTTCTTAATCAATTTGAGTTCTTTTATATTTTTAATTAGCATAATTTTTTTTTTCTAAATCATACTATTTAATTCAACTATATTTATTGGATCACAAAAATCCTCTAATTACATTTACTGGAACTATAAGAATCTTCCATTATCTGAAACTCGAATTCGAATCAGATATCAAACTAAAATAACTTTTTACTAATTAATGATCCAATATTTTTAATTAACATGATTAAGATCATCTAAAAAAATATAGTTTTTAATTAACAAAATTTACTACCATTAGTTATAGCACCTAATAATTAAATTTATATCATTCTTTATTTAACGTCACTATTTTATATTAACCAATATAGCTTAGCAGCTACGCAAGGCATGGAATGAAATAAATTAAGGAATTCGTGGTGGCTTATACATTGATTTAAGACAAATTACGATATTGTATAAGTCAAATGAGTGGCATGAAATCACCTTGAGGGAACATCACATACTTCGAAGTTCAAACTGTGATAACGATACATCAAATCCTGAGCAAGTGCTTTTTAGTTAGTCATTATCATAATCATATCTTCATAAATTTCGTCTTGATGCAGTATTAATATAAAATTCTATACAGTAAAAAAATCATTAAAAAAGTATGACTAACATAATCCCTATTTGTGAAATTCAACCTATAAGTTGATACATAATAATATGATAGTTTCTAAGTGAAAAAAATGTTATGTGACTTATTTATTGGCTTACACTTGGAGTGGACCCAAAGATGAAATGAGAAACTTGTATAAACGCAAGGTTTGTGGAACCACTGTGTCGTATAAACTAGTAAGGACACGACAATCAAAAGCACAAATCTATATGATTCCATTTCACTATCAGTTCTAAATTCTGTCTCCTATGTCTCTATGCTAAGTCTTTTTCACCACTACAAGACTTCTTTGCTTCTCTATCTCCTTAGTCCTTACTTTTTCTGAAAAGGGTAGGGGCTGATTTTATACAAAGAATAGTACATTGACCCGTGGTTTTTCTTATGTTACTTTGGTGAACTTTCTCAAAATGCATAGCTTATATTAGACATACACATATAAATTACCTATGAATGATGTATCATATGTGAGTACTTCTCAGTTGGGTGTTCTTAAGTGAGGAAAAGGAAGATGAGTAGTAGGTGTTGTTTTGTGCTGCTTTTTGCTTTTGTATTTGTGCTTGGCATCTTATCTCCAACTTCAGCCACTCCACCAGCAAGTGAGTGCAACTGTGTCCTTCATGACAAAAATTTCATTCCCATTAGAGTTTTCTTCTTGTGAATAATTTTGTCTGACCATGAAATTTCATGTGACATGCAGAAATTGTTACTGGGGTTGTTTCCAATGCTGTTTCTGCTTTTATTAAATGGCTATGGTCACTAAGTGTAAAATCCACAACCAAACCAGGTAGAGGTGAGTTTTCACTTTTCCTTTTTCTCATTCTTAAATTTGGGTTAAGGCCTAACTCAATGTCAAAATCTTGTAGAGTGAGGATTGCTTTAGCTTTTGTAAGTTCATATTTGACCATATTTGTTGTGGATGTGGAACTTCAACACTCATGTTAAAAGTGCTAACATGTTGTTGGTCTTTTCATGATGGGAAATCATTTGATTTCTCAGCGCAACACAGTCGCTCCATGGTGAAATTTGAGAGTGGCTACACTGTGGAAACAATATTTGATGGAAGTAAGCTTGGAATTGAGCCACACTCAGTGAAAATATCTTCAAATGGTGAATTTCTGGTTTTGGATTCTGAGAACAGCAACATCTACAAGATCTCAGGTCCAATGTCCCGATGTAAGCTTACTTTGCAGAAATTGTCTAAGCTTGATTATGACTTTGTTTAAAATTCCATTTTTCTTTTGTCTTTCTTGGTTGGCATATTGATTTGTATGGAAGATTCTATTGCTTTAATGTTGTGGCTTTCCTTTGCTTCATTGTGCCAAAATACTAGATTCAAAATTCAAGCGTGTCCTTCTAAGAATTTCTGATGTTTTGAGTTTTTCTTTATACATAGACTTTGCTTCATTCCCGGGACATCTTTTGATTTTACTAAGCTGTTGTAAAGATGCTTAATGAACTTTTGTTAAGCGCAAGTTTCCACTTTTAAAAGTACAATGTACCTTTAGTCACCAAAAAGAAAGTATAATATGCTTGCATGATATTTTGCAATATTTTACTTTAGAAAAAAATTAAATAAGACCTAGAGAATAAGAAAGATACAAAACCTATGACATTGAACAGCAGTTTGGCTTCTTTAGCCCACTTTGGTCCTTTAGCTTTCTTGTTGATTCTTCTTGCTCTACATAATGATAATGTAAATGTCACATCCATTATAATCTAATTCCACAACTTTGAGCTTCTTGAAGACAACACCACCATCTATTAGTTAAAAATAAAACATATATGTCCACACACACACACAAATTACATATTGGCTTCTGAATTATATTTTGATTCACCTTATTGTGGACTAAGTACTGAAACATTGGAGTGTGTGACTGTGAATAGGACTACATAACACATTGCAAACTATGGCCTCGTTGATATTTAACAAGTAACTTTAACTTCTTTAAAAATAGAGTCAAACTCTAGCCTCAATAAAATTAAGACTAGTTGATAGAATTCCAAGAGAAATTTCATAATTTCTTTATAGATGATATGTGATTGCTAATTTATGACCAAAATCTCAATGAGTTTTGAGATTTTATCCTTTTTGAGTGCCTCCAGAATGGCTTCCTATTTTGTTTCATTATGTTTGATTTTGCTGATGAATGGATGAACCACAGATAGCAGACCAAAACTACTTGCTGGCTCTTCTGAAGGGTATATTGGACACATAGATGGGAGGCCTAGAGAAGCTAGAATGAACCACCCTAAAGGGCTTACAGTGGATGACAGTGGGAATATTTACATTGCAGACACATTGAATATGGCGATCAGAAAGATCAGTGATGAAGGTATAAAAATCACTCAATCTATTTAAGAATGAAATGAATGCGCTAATCTGCTGAAATTCTAAATATAAAAGAGAATTGTTTTTTTTCATATAAAATATCCTTTAGTCAATCTTATTAATTTTTTACGAATTTAATTAAAGTCTGTGACATCATTGACATGCCTTTTGTGCAGGGGTTACCACCATTGCAGGTGGAAAATGGAGCCAAGTAGGAGGTCATGTTGATGGTCCAAGTGAGGACGCTAAATTTTCAAATGATTTTGATGTAGTTTATGTTGGTAGTAGCTGCTCTCTTTTGGTGGTGGACAGAGGAAACCATGCAATTCGAGAGATCCAACTCCATCAGGATGATTGCACAACTTATGATGAGTATGACAGTAGTTTCCAATTAGGTACGATCCACTTGTAATCTAATTTCCTGTATTTTCTTTGTTCGTTATTTTGGATCTTGTTGATCTAAAAGCTATGCAATTTACATTATAGGAATAGCAGTGCTTGTTGGAGCTGGATTCTTTGGCTATATGTTGGCATTACTGCAGTGGAGAGTGAGGGCTATATTTTCTTCTCCAGATGTAAGAAACACACACTGATTATTTTCTTCTATAGCATGTTGTCCTGAACCATTGTGACATGTTGGAAAACCAATAAATTTCAAAACAATATTTGGTTTTGAGGTATAATTTTCTTCCTTGGCTCCAAGTTAATTCTTTCTAAATAACCATTTCTAGCTCAAGTGCTAGATGTTGAGGGACACAGAAAAAATATAGGTGAATTATTAAGCCATGATTTCTAACAGAATATTTGACATCATTTAATTCGTGTAGTCAACCCATTTAGTAGGAAAATGCTTAGTTGTTGCTGTACTATATTTTTGGTCACACAACAGAACATAAGTGTATTAAAATATTGAACATGTTATAGTATAGACTGGAAAAAAATTTGACAATCTTGTTTCATTTTCAGGATCCAAGAGCACCTTCAAGGAAGAAAGCTACACCATTTGCAGCACAACAAATGCAAAGGGCTCCTCCTCCCAAGTCAGTGAGGCCTCCATTGATCCCAAATGAAGATGAATTTGAGAAACAAGATGAGGGGTTCTTTGTTTCCCTTGGAAGACTTTTCCTGAGCTCTGGCTCATGTATGAGTGAAATCTTGGGAGGCTTGTTCTCTGGATCCAAGAGGAAATCACTTCAATATCATCACTACCAACAACAACAATACCAATATGCAAACAGACATCCAAATGCATGGCCCATGCAAGAGAGTTTTGTTATTCCAGATGAAGATGAACCCCCTTCTATAGAAACAAGAACACCAACACCAAGGGAAACATACCCTTTGATGAACAAAGAACTTGAAAAACCACAACCCTTCAAGCCAAATAGGGCTTACTTGAACAGGTGGGATGGTGGTGATTATGATGAACGTCAACATCATCAACAACAACAACATCATCAACAACAGCTTCCAAAGCTACAACACCACAAGGTGCAACACCAACAACAGCAACACCAAGTTCAGGCCCGTTATTCTTCCACCCCACAAAGTTACTATGAGCAAAACTGTGAGACAAATGAGATAGTGTTTGGTGCAGTTCAAGAACATGATGGAAGACGAGAAACCATGGTGATAAAGGCTGTAGATTATGGTGATCCAAAATATAGTCATCACAATATTCGGCCCAGATTAAACTATGTTGGTTACTCACATGGTTATTGAAAATTAGTGATGAATTCACATCATCAAACTCAAAAGTGACAAAAAAACATGCATGCATGGACTTTCTAAAATATGAAGAGTTTATTTTCTCTGCTTAGGTAGGACACGTTAATCTTACAATCACCAATTAAAATCATACATATATATATATATATGATTTTATTTTAAGTGCAATCTTCGCTTGCCTTTTAATTTACAATCTGCTTAGATGAATTATTTAGGAAAAAAAAAAAAAAGGAAAAGAGAGAGTGGGATTACGAGGGAATTAGACTTGCCCCAATTTTTTTGTTTTATTTTAACAAATGAAAACGTAAAGGATTTAGGTATTTTAAAGAAATCAAATTTTTAATCGATTAGACGATACTATGATAAAAAATTAATGTCGGGATATTAATGATCCTAAAACAAAAGTTAGTATAATAAATTTTTAATGAGTTAATATTGTTTTTTAAAATAATTAGCAGTTTTAAGGTCAATTAATGTTATTTTAACACCCGGCTAAACACTTTATATAATTATAGTTTAACTATTTTTTAATTTGTATATTTGTAGTTTTAATTAATACTACTTCTGGTCCTTTTTATAAGAAACAAAATAAAATATTTTTGTTATCCTTATTATAAGAATCAAATAATAAATTCAAGATGCATTAATTGCTAAATTTCTTTTATATCTTTCTTTTATTAGTATCATTAAATATAAAAATTACTAACTACACTATTTAATATCATGGGTATTCTTAAAATAAAATTTATATTTATGAAAAATATAATTGATTTAATTATTTTTCTTAGTCATGATAATTTAGTCTTTTATTTCTTATAATTTTTTTTTAATAATTTATAAATTTTAAATTTGAGCTGAGGAAATATTCATTTGAGATTAGGTATAACCTCATTTTTGGCTGGAAGAATATTTTTAATAACTTACCTAAAAGTTTTCCGGGAGTATCTATTCAATGCGCTGTTTATTTTTATTTATTTATATTTTATAATTTTTCCTTTTTTTTCAACCTTCTAAATGATCAATTTGATTAAAAAAAATAAAAATACAATAAACACATGAGAATATCAATACTCTCATGTTCCTGTCTCTAAGTAAAGCATCATACATACATTATGGATACTTTTGGATTTGGAAAGTGATTTCACATAATTGGCTGGTTTTCTTGTAATTACAGCTGTGTATGCCACTATGCCTACTAAAATATGTCGATAACTAAGCTTTATAATTAATTATTATTCAATGATTCTTAGTTTGGTTGATGATTAATCAATGATAAACAGATTAAATTAAAACATGCAAAACCCAATTAAAATATTTTGAAGTTTGGACAGTAACCATAATAATAGATTAATCACAATTAGAGTAATTAAATAAATAAAAAAAGCTTTAGCATTGAAGCTTATTTAGGACTTTATGACTTTCTCAGTACTAACAATGGTGACATATTTGTGTGCTTTCCACCTATCTTCCTTGTTATTATTTTTTGTGAGTCCCATTGTAATAGCATTCAAATCAAATTTCCATGTAAAAACAATATTAATCTATATTAGGAATTACGTTGTATAGTTGGTGCATTATTTTTCTCATGTTGGTATGAGAATTCTTTTGTTTGATACGTAAAATATGAAAGTACCATTCTATTTCAAACATGGATCATGCCAAGACAAGTAAGGTAATTTCTTCCAAACAAATTAAGATAGAAATAGTTACTCCTATCAGGAAAAAATATATATTTATTTTTTATATATTTACCTTAATTAGCTGTATAATTATAATTTAATCCCAAATAAAATTTGCGAATCAAATGTAAAAATAGAAATTTTTTTATAGGTACTTTAAAGACACTGGTTAAGTGATGAAAAGAGAAAAAGGTAATAAATATGCTATTAATGTGCACCTATTATGAGTTATAATGCATTTTCAACATTTTTTGTAATAAAACAGCTTTATTTTAATCATTAGTTAGTGAGACTAAATAAAATAAATATCATTTATAAGTGAATTTTGACCAAGACTAATCTTTCGTTCTTTATTTATTTTTAGAAGGACTCATCACTGAGGTAGACTGCGAAGAGAAAATTTTGAATTCTTTATGAATATAAAAAGTTCAAGGTTCATAGTATGTTTTAAACATAATTAATGATAAATACATTTTTATATTTTCCCTTGACCTACCTACTTTTTCTAGTTTAAAAGTGGCTATATAAAAGGATAAAAAAATGTCAAATATTTTGGGAGGTTTGAAAGTTTTTCACTATGGTCGCAATTGAACATTCTTTTACATTAGAGAAGAGCGGTATAAATATATATATATATATATATATATATATATATATATATGAGATAAATAATATTACTTTTACTTCTATTTATAAGAAATAAATATCAATTTTTTAGTTTAAAATATAAAAAATACATATTTATTTTTAAATGCATATGAAATTCTTTTTATATTTTTGTTTATTGTGAGATTTGTGTTAACAAGTTTCTCACATTTTATTTATATGTTAATATATTCATTTAAATTAATTTTTAAAATACTAATTAAAATTATAGATATGGTAATTTTTATTGATTAAAATAAATTAGATATTTATTTTTTACAAATAAAATAAAAAGTAGTATAATAATAATAACATAAAAAAAATAATTCCCCATCAATAGTAGATAAGAGTGGAGGTAACCAAGAAAGACAAAATTCCCAATTAGGTAATAAATAAAGTAATAATAAAAATATAATATTTAGCATATCCGTAGTAATTAAATATTGAAGATCTTATCTTCAAATTTCAAGTATCCAAAATAATCAAACACTGCAAATAGACTTCAAGGGGAACCGGCATTTCCCGGTGACAGTTACTAGCCACTCGCTACTCTCAGCGTTTTTTCCGTGATTCTGTTACACTCCAAAACAGCCGAAACTGCCACACTATTTATTCTCTCTCAAACCCGACGAAGAGAGAGAAACAAACCAAAACCCTTTCTCTCTTCTCTTCTCACTATGTCGACGTTGCCGGCGAAGTTCGCCGACGCTGGCGACGACGACGTGCACGACATCGTATTCGCCAAGAGACGCTGCATGTGTTCCTGCATGCCGTGCTTCCCTTTCGAAACGTCGTCGTCGTGGTGGCAACGTGTGCGTTCGCCAGCGAACAAGGAACGGTGGTGGATGAAGGTAAGGGAGTGGTCGGAGATCGTTGCCGGTCGTAAGTGGAAGACCTTCATTCGGCGCTTCAGAAACAATGGCAGGGCTCGTGCGGCTCAGCACGGTTCGTTTCGCTACGATCCGCTCAGCTACGCGCTCAACTTTGACGACGGAATCGCCGCCGGCGATGACGGTTACGGCTACGGCGGTTTCTCAACGCGCTTCGCATCCGTTACGGCGCCGGCGAAGGCATCGGCGGACAAAGCGAAAGAAGCGCCGGTGCTCACGTGAGAATCACGTGCCGCGATTGTGAAAAGAAGTGAAAAGCAGAATGAAGCAACCGTGCTTTGAGGCCGGTTTCGCGCTGCGTGGGGCTAACGTGCACAGAGAGTGGAGTGTGACCGGGAAAAATTAGGATCATTGCGAGGTGGTGGGAAACGGAAAAATCTGTTCCCATTACTGAAATTATTACTTTTTTTCCTTTTTGTAATTTAATGTATATTATGAAATTGTGGGGAGAAACGAAACAAGAATAATACAGTTAGCTATTTCAAAAATTAAAATTAACCATATTTTTTTATATTTCAATTTTTATTATCACTTTAAAAATCACATTTTTTCGGTAAAAAAATTCTTTAGAGGGAGCGATGATGCTTCATTTGCTCAAAACATTAATTGCTCCACTTGACCAACTTTTTGAGAATTTTCATATTTCAATCATTATTATTATTTTACAGATTTCTTTTTTTTTCTCTGTGTCTCATTTAGTTTTTTATTTTTTTAAGCGTATTTATCTTAGGTGGGTAAAAAATATCTATTTATAATGAAACATTATTGAATTTTTTAAGCGTATTTTTTTTGTTTTTATTATCCATCTAAATAAAAAATTATTGTTACTATATTATTATCATCGTTGTTATTACGATGAGGAGGAGGAGATTGGAGAAAGCGGCAAAATACATTTTGTTTGATAATATAATTAAAATATAAAATAATTAAAATAATTACTAGTTCTTTTTTTTAATGCTATTCTGATTACATTTTTTAAGGTACTAATTTTTAACTTCTAACTGAGTAATTTTTTTAAAAATAATATAAATGATATAACAAAAATATTTTTAAAAATATGATTTAAGTGAAAATTTATATAATTTTTAGTATTTATTTTTAATTAAAATTAAAATTTTAATTTAATAAAATATTAACATTTAAGGTTGTCATATGTTGATAAAAGATTAATATTTATTGCATGCTATTAAAGTAAAACTTTAATTACGATTAAAAACAATATCAAAATACTTAAATAATACTATCCGGCATTAATTTTTTTTTGTAAAATAAAATTTTTAGAGTAAACTGTAAATATATTTATATATCTTATTTTATTTAGTATAAATATTTATAAATGAGAGTAAAATTAAAATATTTTATGTTAATTATAAGATGATAAATGATTTCAAATAAATTAAAATATAGAAGTTAAAATTGTTTTAAAATATAATTATCAAATTTCTAAAAATTACCCTTTGTTCTTTGAAAAACCAAAAACTATCATCATCCATACCTTTTGCCTTTATTTTTTTCCTACCATCTAAATAAACCACGGGAGATTTTTCATTCAAGCACTCAATATGTAATACTTTGCTCCAATTTATACAAAACAATAATCAATATTTTGTTTCTAAGATACAAGAAAAAACTTATTTTTAAATATATTAATTGTTATATTATTTTATACTTTTAATCATTGTAAGATGTGTTAATAAAGTGCTCACTTTTTATCCATATAATGGACACATTTATTTGTTTAATATATAAAATATTAATTAATATTATGAAATTTTTTAAAAGAATGTATAAATATTTAATAGATAATTACCTTTTATTAATCTTTATAAATTAAATATTTATTTTTATGAATAATACAAGAGGTAATATTTTGCCACAACAATTTATATTCAAAATATCATATTTTAGTCTTTTAATTTTTTTTATTCATATAAAAATAAAAGAGCCACTAAAATGCATGCTAGGTGGGACTTTCATAAGAGATAGCTCGTTGCATTGACTTAGACATGAATACATTTATTGAAATCTATGTCTATGAAATTATACTACAATAATATAAGATATTAATAGAAAAATCCATTAAAGAAAAGGATGAATAGCTGGAATTAACCGGTGGAGAGAAAAGGAAAAAGATGATGAAAAAAAGGAGAAAAAGAAAAAGGAAAGGAATGAAAAAAGAGGGTAGGAAGTAGCATCTTGGGAAATGTTGGTTGACTTTTTGTATTAAGTGGTGCCAATGCCAATAACCCAAGCTAGCAAAGAGGGAATGGGAACACTCCACTTTTGTTTCAATGCAACTTTAAGCACAAATATGGTCATGGGTTTGATGCGTGTATTTCAAGTTAAGTCAATGTTCAATTGTGCATTCTTATCATTCCTTTATACTTCAAAGTTCTACCCATTTTCCTTTTCTTTACTTTTATCATTATCATCTTTTCCACCTCTAAAATATTCCATTTCCATCATCTCTACCCTTTTTTTTTCTTTCTAGTCAAATATTCCATCAATTTTGTCTTTCTTTCTCAAAGCTTGTCATTTCAATTACCAACGTTCACCCTTTTTGTCTTTCTCTCTTGATTCCACTACAAATGTGATGATCATTATAGTCAACCACTCATGAGGAAGCATTCACTTTGTTCTAGGCTCTGGGCATTCTCTATTTTCATGAAAAATAGATAATGTTGATGAAAATTTATTAATTGTGTTGTATATATCTACACTTTTCAGAAATTGTTTTCATGTATTTCCTTAAATTTTGTGTACTCTTTTGTCATGGCTTCAATTATTATGTTTATTTCATCACGTGAATGCAAACACTAATCATCTCATCATTTTCACACTATGCTCTCAACGTTGTTGCCCTACGTAAGAAATTATCACCCCTCTCTTTTTTTTCTCTCCTTAAAACATCCAACAAAATAACCAAAGTCCCTTTTTACAAAGTGATTAGTCAAAAATTATATTTTTAAAATATTATTTATTATTAATTGAAGTATAAGAAAACAAAACCGATTATGTGAATTACATGGCATCATTAAATTTAATAAACATTAAATTTTTTAAAATATTTTTTATCACTAAATTTCTTCTAATAATTTTGTCAAATTTTTTAATCTTCTTTGACTGTATTAAATGTTATGTCATCAACTCTTTTTTTTTTTTATACCTGTCCGTATCATTTTAACCCAAAAATAAAAAGTATAGGAAGATTGTACATTTTTTCAATCAATAAAAATTAACATTAAATTAAATGTTTTATTTTAAGGGCTTATTTGCAACTTAAAAGTGTTAATAACGCGCTGGCAGAGCGTCAACTTCGGCTTATTTCCAACAGCAGCATGAACAGTTGCATTGTACACTGACCGCTGAACTTTAGAGCAACCAACAAATGGTAGGTCACCACACACTAATATTTATTAAAAACTAAAAATTTTAGTTTTAAATTAATATTTTTTTATTTTTAATAAAATTTAATCAATAATTTTATATTATTATATCATATTCATGTATGCTAAACTCAATTTTTAAATGCATTCAATGTTAGTGTAGGACAAATCTCAAAGTATTATAGAAACTTTTATTTTATTTTTAATTGAAGATAGAGTTTTATTTTAATAATATATGTTAGTCTTTCATTTAGCTTTTATTATCAAAATTGTTAAAATAAAATTTTAATTAAAAATAGCACAATAAAATAATAAAAATAGTAATAGTTTAGCCAAATTTGTCAATTAGTATACTGTTGTTGGTGAGCGTGTGGAGGCATAGACACCTAGTATTTCTTTCTTTGTTCTATCTTTTTTATTAATGGTTGAAGGGTTGTCTTGCTATTTAATTAATACTAATACATTGAGATTGAAGACATTTGATTTCACATGAAAGGATGAGACCCTTTTGGAAGTTGGCAACACACTATCAATATTTTCCACCGACCAACCTCATGACAAGTTAAATTTTTAAGCTACAAATACAACAAAGATATCACAACAAGCAATCAAAACATAAGAGAGTCACTAACAAATGTGATTAAAATACATATGAACTCCCTCTCCTCTTAGTTGATCCAATTTGCTTTTGTGCCTCTTCAATTGGCATTCCAAGTTTCATTTCACCCTTTTCTTTTTAACTTACTTTTCCCCCTTTATGCCAACACCTTTCTTTTCAAAGTGATGTAGTATATATTATTCTTCAATATTTCCATTTTATTCTTGTTTCCCACTATTTCTATAGGATGATCGTTTCACTATAGCACGACAATAACTATTGCTAACCTTAGCCTTTGAGATATAGACAAAGGAAACAAACGAAAACGTTATTCACTAGAGAGATGCATCATTTTTGGGATATCACACTCATTTCAACTTACCTTATTTTTCTTCCTTTTAACCTTGATTTAAACACAGCTCTTTAGATTCAGTTTTGGTGTAGATCCACTTCATATATCCTAAAACAAGGAACTCAACTCACATGTTTGAAAGAGTTTACGAGATTATGTATTTCATAAATTATTTTTAATTTATATAAATTCATGGTGTATAGTTAATTTTTATTAGTTTTGATAAATTAATAATTTATTTTTATAAAAAGGATTAGAAGAGGAATTGGGGTTGTTTGCAAGTATATAGAGTATTCTTAAAAGTGCAAATCCAAAATCATTTTCATCTTGATTTAATATCCCCCTCTCCCAAGTCAAAATTTTTTGGGGACTAATTGGATTGTCATTATGATTGACACAATATAAATCTGCCTTTAATTTCAACATGGACACATGGGAGGTGTAAAGTGGCCCCACACGGTTGCAGTCACAGCCATTTTTTGAATCAAAATTCATGAAAAGGAAAAAAGATTCTGTCACACCAGCTTTCATGGATCCCACTATCACTGCCCAACTGCCCAGCCAAAAAGATATTAGGCAAAAAAGTGTTTACATTCACACTCTCCCAAAAAGTATGTGTAATGCCAATAATAAAGAAAAAAAAAAAGATATTAAAAAAATCCAAAAGCCTTAAAAAGCAAAGAAAGCAAGTGCACTTGCCACATGTCATGATCAAGTAGACATACTCATAGTGATGGTAAGAGAACAGTGACAGAAAGAGACAAGTCTGGCTTTGAAACAGGCTAGACTCCACAACCAAATTCAATCAACTAGCCTAGATCTGTCCTCATAAAAATTATCATTGAAAAAATTATACAATATTGTTGAACTATGGAGTTGAAAAATATCTAGGAAGGCTGTGTTGATATTTTCACTTTGCATAACCAAATAAGCTTAGATCAACAGTTACCATCACAAATCCAATTTCATCAAACCATGGAGTCCTAAGATCTGTTTGAAAAAAGAAAGAGATGTATTTCTTATATCTTCTTAAGGTACAATAATAACACATCAATATTATGGCACACAATCAGTCATCACAATGTCAAAATTAGCACACCAAAATTTTTTGGAATTCTAAGGCAAGAGGGAAGCTTTAATCAATGGATTGAAATGAATTCAAGTAAAAGAAGGAAGTAAAAAAAAAAAAACAATGTTGATACCTTCATGCCCCTTCTCTTTCCCTCATCCCTTGCAAACCTGTATTAAGATAAGATGGCATGCCTATTTGAGCATCCAAAGAACTAGGTAATTTTCCCTTCTTTGGCCACAACCAGATTTTGGACACAGAAAAGCTGTCACCTTTAGTGACACTACTAATCTTCTTTGCTTCCATATCCCCCACCACTGAAAGCTTATCATCACCATGTTCTGTTCCTTTGGTGAGGCTTGTAACTTGACCTTTATGGTCATGGTTCAACGCCACCCTGAGGTCTGAATTTCCAACCACATACTGGTAAGATCCCATTGAGTAACACCTTCTTGCATCCAAATTACTGCTACTTGTCTCTCCCACCACTCCATTGTCCCCACCCTCGACATTCAGCTTCTTGAATTTACCAAGTCTCACAGGGAAAACACCTTTGTCTACAGTTTCTTCAACAACAACAGTTTTCTGTCTTGTAGTGAATCCATTTTCCACATTACAAGGACACCCATCATCCTCCCTCAGATCATCAAAATCAAATATTGGGTTTTCAATAGAAAATCCAGGAGTGAGGAGGGTTCCTCTACAAAGAGGGCACGTGGAGTTTGACAACAGCCATGTGTCAATACAACTGATGTGAAAAGCATGGCTGCACATAGGCAACAACCTTAGCTTATCTTTCTCAGAAAACTCACAGAGACAAACAGCACAGTCAAATGGCTCTTTCAGACCCACAATCTCCTTGTACTGAAAAACAGGGAGTGCATCAATGAAAGCTTGATCCAAACCAGAATCATGGAGATGGAAGAGCTGTTGCAGCTGTCTTTGAAGAGCATCAGAAGTGGAAATTTCTGGGTGTCTATTGGATTGAGCAGAAGCAGAAGATGGATGCTTTATCAGAAATCTAACAAGCAGATGGAGTAGACCAGAAATGAAAAACAAAACAGCAAGAACCACTATGATGAAAAGAACAGCAGGACTAATTCTAGTTCCAGATGGTGAAGGTGTTGAAGAGGGCATGGATTCCTTGTGGAAAGCAGCACCAGGGTATGAAGATGATGAAGACAAACCCGGGGGTGGGTAGCTCAAGTAACCATCTTTTTGCTGGATTTGATGCTCAATCCAAGCCATCTTCAAATGGGTATGGTCAAAAAACAACCTAGGAAACATGTTTTCTGACATCTCACAGATCATAAAGACACAACACACCCATGAAACGATGTTCCTCACCCAACATAATCATAGTCACATCCTGTTGACACCTTAACTTAAACTCGCAGTGTTATACACTCAAACATGGGATATATACAAACAAGTACTCTCTATCTTAAATAAAGCCTAGAAAATGGTTATTTTTGTTTTTCCTTTTGGCACAATATGTTGAACTCAACTCACCTAACTGGTTTGTGGGTGGTTGATGTTGCTTCTCTTGATGAGTATTGCTGTGTTTTTCTTGAAGAAGTTGAAATCCTATCTTGAGTGAGAAGAGAAAAGTGAAACGTGAAGCTCTTGCTGTTGGCAGTGTGTGATCCAAATTAGACAAAGTTGTTTGTGGTTTGTGAAGGAAAGAATCCAAAGAGTGAAAGTGGCAGCAGTTCCCGCATTCCGAGGTAAAGGATGATAAAAAAGAGACCCTTAAATTCTATTCCCACTCGCACCATTAGAGCGTGCTTCTCATTGTTGTTTCATTTTCACTTCCCTCCATAATTATATAATTTACTCCTAATAATATCTTTCAAGTTTTCAAACGTATCACATCATAGTAAAATATTTTTTCTTTTCTAATCATATCTTGTTTTATTAATATAATCAATAATTCAAGTTTAATTAATATGCTTCACAAACTTTAACTTCTGTCAACTATATTGAAATTTGCAGTGTCTGCTGCCATTAAATGAACATTGTGGTTGTCATAAAATAATTTTATTAATAATAATTTTTAAGGTTGATTTTAAATACTAAAAAATTGAATTTTTATTAATCTAGTTTGAATATATAAAAATGTAATACTTTTTATTATAAAATTTTATTACTTTTAATTACTTAAAATCAAACCTATATTTATATTAAAAGAAATACAAACCCTGCTTTGAGAATAGTCAATTGTTCTTTTTTATTTTAAAGCTAAATTAAAGTATATTATTTTACAAGAAATGTTTTTATTCGAGTCTAAGATATTTAAAATACGATGAGTTTAGCGTTTTTAGCGAAGATTTTTTTTCCATAAATAGATGTTAAATCTGAAATTTAAGACAAATTAAAGATGCATTATTGGACTCTGATATTTAAAATTTAGTACTTATGAATTATTAAGCATTTTAATGACTATTAATTTTTATTACGCAAACTTTTAAATATTTATTATAAATAGGAGAGTTTTATGAATTGGGTTAACTTGCAAGCTCAAGATTATATATTATGAAAATTTTTAATTCTTGTCATTACGATTAATCCACATATGAGGTATTTTAAAAATTAGTATGAGTAGATTTTGTTTGATATAAGAATATTTTTCAATCAACAGTTAAATTTTATTTTTGAAATGTAATGATTATCGCAATGAATTTTGTCTAATTTAATAAATAAATGCGTAAATTGTTGCTTCCTTAATTATATTCTCAGATTTTTGAAGTTTCAATTTGTTTGTGTGACACTGACTCATTATTTATGATTTTGCGATTGCTCTATTACCTTAATTTATTTTAAATTTATAGTTCTTAAAGATTAATTCATTTTGCCATACAATTTTTTGGTGTAAATTGCTATGTTACAATACCTTTAAATTTATTTAAGAGTTGTTATGTTACTTTCATTCATTTATGACTAATGTTAATTTTAATTTAAGACTTGTTTTGTTTATTAATATATATTTTTTAATTTTGCATTTCGACACTTAATTAAACAGCTGTCTTTTTTTTGTTCTTTGTAAGTACATCGTACTTGTAATAGGTTGAACCCAACCTACCACTCGTGAATGAGTTGATTTGGATTGTGTGGAAGAAAAATTTCTTTAACAAAAACTATTGCTTGTATAATAAGCAAATTAACTCTAACTTAATCCTTTATCCAGTATTATTTAAAAGATATTTAAAAAAATAACTCATAAATATAATTTATTTTATAAAATTTTAGATGCTTTTATTAGTATTTCTTATATTTATTTTTCCTGAATATTAAAAAAGTTCTAATTTTTTTATAAATAAGTTAATATTAAAATTTAAGTTTTAGTAGAGACAAACTTAAAATTTCATAATTGTCTTTTTAAAAAATTAATCTTTTAACTTATTTTAATAAATTTTCTTAGTTTGTGTAATTTAGTTAAAAAGATCTTGTAAATATTATTCAAGGGAATATTACTTATAAATTTTATCAATCAGTACCCATTTAATATCCTCTATTTAATGTTTATAATTATTTACATCATACTTAATATTCTCTAAGTTATTTTTAATAAATAAATAAATAATTTATCTTTCATTTTTTTTCTTAGAGTGTCTCTCCTTAACGAATATCATTATAGTAAAATAACATGCAATAAATGGTTAATGATGCATTCTATTTTTCATACTAAAAATGATATTATAGCAACTTTAGTCAAAATATACATATAATGTCAATTTTGTTCTTCAGAGATTAATTTTATTAATTTTTCTCAAGATTAAAATTTCAAATTTAGTGTTAATGTCTCTATATATTTATAACTATTGTTATTGAAGCTTGTGTTATGTCACGACCTTGGAATGAGACAATTTCATCAAACTTTTATTCAAAAGAAAAAAAATGTAACTCTGTTGTTTCACAAAACTTATCCAAAAGAATTGTTATAAACTTGTTTTTTCTAACATTCTTTTTATTATTAGCTGATTTATTTTGTGAATCTCACTAAATAATTTGGGTTTCCTTTTCTCTAATAAGACCTACATAAAGTTAATTCAATAATATTCTTCTTGAAAAAGTTAATCTGTCATTAGCGTTCTTTCTTTACTAAAAAAAAAGGAGAGCATTAAAAACAGTGACAAAAAGATATTGTCAACATTCCTTGAATGTATAATGGTTTTCTGATGTTAACTTTGATAGTTTCTGCTTTACCCAAACAGTTTAATTTTGATAGGTAAGAATAATCTTGGGTTGGGTTGAATTATGCTATTAACTATTGACTTTAAAAGAATTGTTACAACTAGAAGGGTTTGAATTTGATTCATATTAATGATCCTATTCGTTAGGTGATATGTTAGTATCACTGTAAATGGAAATTGAGGATTACGACATGCACATTATAAATCTTGTGTTTATTAAGATGCCATAATAGTCAAAAGAGTGGGGAGAAAAACAAAAGCAAAAGGAGATGCCTTTTTAGTCGTCATTACTCATTATGTATAGTATTCTATTAAGTATGGTAGGAACTAGGAAATATGTTTGTTCTTTCCTCTTAACATTGGGTTAAAATTAATGTATCTATTAGATTTCTTGAACTTTTCTATTTAAGATTTTTCTTACAAGAATGGGTTATTTAATGCGTCTATAGGAGGAAATAGTGCTTCTTAATTCTTTGCAAATTGGGTGAAGACTTTTGAAGGCAATTACAAATATAGATGTTGGATTATTTTCATTGTATAGTGTGTAGAATAAGGGATTTTATGAAGCATGGTCCACCAAAGCCTTAAGTTTCTCTCCTTTAAATCATTTCATGTTAGATAAATTCCTCAAACAAGTAAACAAACCAACGTTGGTGTCATTATCTATGTTGCGTGAACAAAATAAGAAGAAAGTAATGCTATTCAAAGTTTTAATTTCTTGTTTTCATTAATTCTAGGATAGTTGCTCTTGTTCATTGAATCCTTTAATGATTGTTGCTTTTGTACTATGCATGTGTTCAGTGAAGAGAGGAGGATCAAGATTCAAGAGGATTGTGTTGAAAAATCACATCTTTGATTATGTTAGAGATATAAATCATTTAAGTTTTACATTATTAACTAAATAACAAAATATTATAGCTGTGAATTTTAAAGTAATTATTATAAAAGTTAATTATTCTTAATAATATATTAATTCATAATTAGATAATAATATACAAAGCTTTTACACCGTGAAGAAATTCTTTAGTCTATTTTTCTGTCAAGAAATTCCTTTTTTCTCCCGTTTTGTTATATCGAGAAGTTCTTGAGTAATATCCATCAACTTAGAAGATTCATGATTCTAGCGATTGAAAAGCCCACGTTGTTGCAGTTGCAAAAAAAATGTCAAGTACAAATACCCTTTTGCTCTTAATTTCCATCTAATTCTTGTAGTCCTCTAATATGAATTGTTACCAAGTAGAAATTGATATAGCAGCAGAGAACAATTCTCCAATTTTTTCATCTTCCTATAAGCAGATAATTTACATAACCACCAACAGCAGCTCTGGAATTTAGTTGTTCAAACACAATAATTTAACTTGCAAATTGCAAATGAACTTTGTTCTTGTTTGATTTACATACTTTGATAGACACAAGCACCAATGGGATCATGCTTCATGCTTCATGAATCAGAAATCTTTTTTCTTTTTCTTTTTTAAGTATTAGTGTGTGTTTAGAATCTCGTTGAAAATCTTATAAATCTAAATTCAACGCAAATTGCTACAATTAGTAGCGTTAAAATAAACGTGGACCCATTATCAATTAAACGTGAATTCAAACAAGCTATTAATCATGGAAGCAATGTGGTTCATGCTTGGCCAGGACTTAATGCATCAATCTTTATCCTTGCTTCTTTCTATCACACGGCTTGAAGACTATAAAAGATTAATAACCAAATCTAATGCAACATAGCCAGAAACAAAAGAATCTGTTGTTTGGAAGGGCCCCTTCATCACTTTGATTCTTCATATTTCTTATCAATAGGTAAAGGAAGTGCTGAACACATTTTTTGGTAATGGATCTCCATAAAGTTGAGGAAATCAGAAAAGTTGTTACCACTAAAAAGAAATGGCCATGCATGAAATTGTTAAAGACGCGGGCCAAAATTGGAGAAATCAGATCTTAGTATTTGCCCATTGGATTGATTGCCTTGGAGAAGGAGCATATTCATCCCTTAGATTCAAGACAGGGCATAGAAAGTAAATTCACCTGATTTTTCTTGAAAATACCCATCTTGGGAACTGTGAAATATATACCAAGAAAGATTTAAGAAGATTAATGAAATTTTTTATTTTAATTTTCAGACAAGGGAAAACTTACCATGAACATCTCTTTCTTTATCTCTCAAGTCAGAATTTCCAAACATATCTGTTAAAAGCACACATAACAAAACTATTAAGAACAATTCTATTATTTAGAGTAATGAAAAAACTTATGTCTTGAGCATGTATGCATTACACTACAGTTGGATATGGTTTCTTTCTTATGATGCATGAAGTTGGTGTAGCAAGTCCACTCTCCCACTTATTGTTAAACCTTTCCTTCTCCCTCTAGTTAAGTCAATAAAAATAAAGATCATAGCAGTTGAAAAACCAAGAAATGTATTTACACTACAGTTTTGCAGTAGAAGCAAGTGTGCAATGGTTTGAAACATTTTTGCAATGGTGTCTATTAGTCCTCCATTTCCACCGCTTCTTCCACTAGCTTCACCCTCTTTTACAATTTCCTCCTAGGACTCCTTATTCTTTTTATTATAAATGCATAAAAGCATAAATCTTAAATACCCTTTCACAAAGGACTTCTTCCTCTGCCGCCACACATAAGGAAGGACATGTAGTAGACAGTACAAGTTAATTTCCTCCTCCTATAATTGCTATTGATGTTTTTTCCACATACATTGCCACCATTATACTAAAAAGAACGAGCAAAAGTTATCACAGATATGACATAATTTTGTATCACGTGAATTAATTATTATTAGCCTTGACTTTCTGTTGCCATCCTCAGGAATACCACATTAAGAGACAATTCAAAGCTGGTAACTGAATTGAACTATAAAGGTTTTGTGTTCTGTGAGCCCAAAAAGGCATGGCAAGAAGATGGTCCTTTTACAGGGATTTGCTACCATTTTTTGTGATTATAGGATTCGAACTCAGTTATGTGGGCTTACTCACTCTGTTCAAAGCAGCCACACAGCAAGGGATGAACAACCATGTCTTCGTTGCCTATTCTTATGCTATTGCTACCAATATACTCTTTCCTATCACATTTTTCAACAGAAGGTTTGCAATTGTTCATTGCATATCACAAACATAAACTTATATCTAACTCAGCTCTTACACTTGAATGGTTTCTTCCATGTTTTGTTTTCATGTTGACCTTTTACAGGTCAAGAGTGGTTCCTCCACTTAGTTTCTCCATAATATGCAAAATCTTTCTTCTTGGGGTGATAGGGTAAAGGCACTTCACTTCAATTAAACCGTAGTTGTTAAGGCCTTCTTTTATAATTAGTTTGTGGTTCAATGAATCTCATGAATCTTGTACTTATGATATTTTGTGTTTCTTGTTGTGTATTTTGATGGCCATGTGTTGCAGAAGTTTATCTCAGATAATGGGATATGCTGGCATTAGTTACAGTTCTCCAACACTTTCTTCATCAATTGGCAATTTGGTGCCTGCCTTCACTTGCCATCATTTTCAGGTTCACTTGCCTTAATGGGTTAATTATAGGACAAAATTTATGTGTAATTCCTTAAGTGAGATTATTAATGCAAGCTTTTTATGTGACACTAAAGTTTTGATTAAATGATAGCCTGAATTCCCACTTGAGTACATGATTGGCCTAACAGAATAGGCACATTAAATTTTTGGAATAATATATCAACTAGCCAGTACTTGTTAGTCATGTAAAATGGGAGTCTTTCTTCAAAGTGAACAACTATGGATTTGTTTGGATGACAATTTAATTAAGTACTTAGTCAATAGGTTCTGATTATGCAAGGGTTTTATACCATAAATTTAATCATAGAACTCATGGACAAACTAAAAATGATTTATTTTGATAAGTTATATGAAAAAGCTTACTAAAATCAGCTAAAAGGAGCTTATAAGAGTGATAAGCTAATTTCATAAACTCTCTGAAAGCACTTCCAAGTGCATCCTATATACATTTTATTTACTTTCGAACTGATGATTTTTGCAAGATAAAATTCTACCTTTTGACACAATTTACTAGTTATTTCCACAAATAAACTCTTAAGAATTTAGCTCAATGAGTTCTTTGAAGGAAATGGTTTTAAACTACTAGGTATAGAATGCTTCACATTTATCACTATGAATGAATATCTTAGACTATTATTGTTCACTTATTTTGTTTTCCCTTGTTCTCCTACCACTACAATTAAGGATGGAAACGATAGCTGCAAAACGTAGTAAGTACTCAAGCAAAGGTGTTGGGAAGCATAGTATCAATAGCAGGTGCATTTGTATTGACTTTCTACGAAGGCCCATCTATCATCAAAGCCCATACCCTTCTTTCCTCACCACTTCAACAACCAATTAGCTTTCTCAAATCAGAGGATGCAAGTTGGGCCATCGGTTGCATTCTGATTACAGCTGAAAATTTACTACTTTCAATTATGGTTCATTTTTCAGGTAGGATTGAGATTCTTCAAATATACTTTAGAAATAGAAGTGCATAATTGATAACCTTTCATGATTTCACCTATAGTATATAATTTTATAAAATACAAGCAAAAGCTCATGGATGTATGAATTTTTTTTAATTTCTTGAGGTCCTATATTGCAAATTGTTTGGATTTTATTTCATGTTTTTATAAATAATTACTTACCTTAATTTTGCTTTATTTTATACTTTTAAAGATTTTTATAGTGAAAAACAAGATTCTTGTTATTTTATGTATACTTTTTAGAAATAAAAGTAAGGTGATTTTCTTACAATTATTTATAAAAAATTTTAAAAAATCTGAAAATGGTGTTGATTTTCTCATTAGTGATTATCTCTTGTACATTATTCTTAAAATATGCTCTCACTTTAGACTATCCAAGATGGGAAAATATTTCTTGCACTTTAATGGAAAGCTTCAAAAACTTAGTTCTAAAATATTGTAATTCCTATATTCATTTCATAGGTCGATATCTTAAAAGTGTTCCCCGATGAAGTAACCATGGTCTTCTTTTACAACGTGCACTGCCACCATCGTATCTACACTAGTAAGTTTATTCAGAGTGCCAAATGCAAGTGCTTGGAAAATAGGATTAAATATTTCAATGATCTTCATTATTTACTCTGTAAGATACCCTGCTAACTACTGTTTCACTTTGACAAAACTAAGTACACATTTAAGCTAATATTTTATTGATGGCACATTTTATTTTATTTTTTATCTTAGGGAATGATTCAGAAGGTTGTGGGCAGTATAGGTCACACCTGGGCACTGGGCTTAAAAGGGCCTGTTTATGAGCATCATTCAAGCCACTCCAAATTGTTATTGTTATTGCTATTGCCATGGGTGTTACATTCCTTGGTGATACTCTTTATGTTGGAAGGTATGAATTTTTTTTATTTTTTATTTTTGCATTTTATTCTTTCTTAAAACATGGGACAATTTAAGTAAAGCAATTGCTATGTGACATACTTGTTGGGCATTTGCATTATGAAATAATCAAGAATGAAACAAAAACATAAGTGATAATGGACATAAATTGGGTTGGCAAAAACTAGAGTGAACAAGATAAGGAAGGACAAGGGAGATTTATGTAATAGAAAGAATCATGATAGTGTGAAAGAAGACAATTGAAAATGACTACATTATTAAATTGTTTGCTTAGGTGGTATAGGCTTAAAGTAAATTTTAAAATAACGTCTTTGCAAATTAATAAAAAAAATATTAGTTATCAAATTTTATTTAAATCTTATTATTCATCCTTATCCTGAAACTAGTCAGCTTTTATCTATTTTCTTGCCCATTTGTGTTTTTCCACTTATTTCAAAGGCACTTCAATTAGGTGATATAATCAAAAGCCTAAATGAATGTGATTGGTTAAATTAAAAGTGAGATCCATATATATATTTTTTATTTTTAACAAATTTTAATTAATTATAAAAAGTGTATTAAAAAATGTATGGTTAATAATACTGTTTCTGCATTTTTCAGTATAGTTGGAGCCACAATAATATCAATTGGTCTTTATGCTGTATTGTGGGGCAAAGCAACAGAAGATACAGAGCAAGATGTTGGTAGGCTGGAGTCACCAACTAATGAGAATGTTCCTCTTTTGCACAGCTATGGAACTGAAACTTCTGGAAAGAAAACAGATGATGAAAATGTTTAGAAGACAAGTTAAAACTCAGATCATAACATCATAGAAAACCATTAAACCAATTTTATTTTATCTTTTGTCATAGAACAGAAAACTACTATAAGGTTATGAGGGTCAAAATTGTGGTTCCATTATTGTCCCCAAAGGTGATCTTGTTCTGCTGAGACAATGGAAGATTTTCAGTAGTGAATCTGTGTCAATTTTTGCAAGGAAGAAATAAGCTGCCATTTTTTGTGTCAAAGTGAAGTTAAAAGGAATGAGTATGACACTAATTAAAGGCTTTATTTTACTCTTTTATTATAATTAATGTATAGTTTTATTTTAAAATAATATTTTAGCTAAATTTTTTCCTTTAATTTTTACTATCAGAATCAAATCTTACTATCACTTTTATTTTAATTTAAGATAAAAGAGGATTTAAAATAATGATTAAGAAGGTTTAAATAAAGAAAAGTAAGCTAAAAGATTTGATTATGATAATAAAAAATTGAAAAACTTATTTATAACAAATGAAAAATTAAGTAACAAAATTCAAATAAAAATTAATAAAGTATATATTAATATAACAAATTTATTACTTTTATCTTTAAAATTAAATTTAAATATATCAAATGATAATAAATAATTTTTAATAAAAACTATTATTTTTAAATAGTTAAAATTTTAAATTAAGACTATAATTAATAAAATCATAATTATAATAAAATAAACGACATTACAATTAAACCTTTTTTTTTTATATGGCTTAGTCTGAAATATACTAAACATGTGAAACAATGTTGCACCTTTTACATGGCTTGTGCTGACATTGCCACGTGTTTTCATTTTCCAAACAAGATCTTCATGAACATTCCAAACCTCTCTGGAGCCCTTTCTTTCTAGACTCTCCTACATATCTCTCAATCTCTCTTCTTCTCAGAAAATAATCATTCATCAAGAACACTCCAGAAACTTAAACACTATTCCACCCTTTCCTATATATATCAACCCAACACCACAATTTCTTCAACACAACACAACAAGACTTTTATCTTAACAAAAACAATCTCGTATAAAACCTCTTGATTTCCTCAAAATGTCTAGCACACGCAGAATTCCAATGTCTCTTGTGACAGTGGTGACATTGTTGTTCCTCTCCATTGGAACAACCAATGCATTAATGCCATACACGAGGACCCTTTGGGACATGATGCTCCCTTCGGATGACCCTTTCAGAATCCTTGAACAAACCCCACTTAACATTCCCAAAGGCATTGAAACTCTTGCTTTGGCACGTGCTGATTGGAAGGAAACACCTTCAGAACATGTCATAGTGTTGGATCTGCCAGGGTTGAAGAAAAATGATGTGAAGATTGAGGTGGAGGAGAACCGCGTGTTGAGGATCAGTGGTGAGAGGAAGGGAGAAGAAGAGAAAGAAAATGAGAAATGGCATAGAGCTGAAAGGACTAATGGAAAGTTCTGGAGACAGTTCAGGTTGCCATCAAATGCAGACTTGGAGCATGTTAAGGCTTCTCTTGAGGATGGGGTGTTGAAGATCACAGTGCCCAAGTTGGCTGAGGATAAGAAGAGGCAACCTAAGATCATTAACATCGCTCAAGAAGAATCTGTTGCTGAAGATGTTAAGGCTACCAAGGCTGAAAAGTGAAATTTCATGTGATTCAATGAAATGTTGTTTATGTTTCATTTTTGGATTTTCTTCATGTTGGTTGGATAAGTTGTATGATGATGTCTTTGGACAGTTATGTTGTTTGAAGTCTAATTGCAAGTTAAATTTGACATGATATAAAAACAAAGTTTTTTATTTATAGTTTATTGAACAGTTTATTACCTTCATTTAACAATATGGATGGAATCACAATGATTTCAATTACCCTTTGTGTCGTATTGAGAGGAAAAGAAACTTGTAGAATCTACATCATGTTTGGATCAAACTATCTATTTATGTAGAAGCATTTTTTTCAAAATAATATTTAACTAAATAGTTAGGTCTTAGGTAATTGAAAATGTCTTAAATTTAACAAATTAACATAACTTACCAATCATATTTTAATCCCTTCATGTAATGGATAAAATAATTGGAAATACTTTTGTAGGTTTTCAAACCTTTTCAAAGTAAATGTTTTGAAAAATCACCATTAATTTTTGTTATTCTAATTATTAAATAAAGAATCAATGTTAATTAAAATTTCATTTTCCAATGAATTTGTCCATATTTCTCAATACGTGCTCTAGCACACGTCAGGAAATGGCCTCCATAATCCTTTCAAGCATCTTTCCACAAGTTGCAATTTTTTAATAAATTACTTTTTCTTTTTGGGATAAAAACAAAAACAAAGAAATCGACGGGTCCATTTTCTCCTTTTTTCAATTAAATGACAGATTTTTGCATTTGAAATATACTATGAGCATGATTCATTTTTTTAAGCAATAAAATATTGTAAATGGTATTTGACGCGATGGCCCATTTTGTATGATAGATACTAATATTTTTTCTATTTTAAAATTTTAATTTCAGAAGTCAAAGTTTGTAAGGTAAAATTCTATTTAAAAATATAAAAAAATATAATATTAATGATATATCTTATGTCTTGATCAAATTATATTATAAATAAAAAAATAAATTAATAAATTATTAATAAAAAGATTAAATTAAAATTATGAATTTTTAGAGGATAAAAACAATCTTATTTAAGCCTAGACGAAATTATGCTTATTACCGCGTCTTAATTGTTGAGTATCAATTATTTCACTTTTGTTGGTATTCTCCATCTTGGATCCCAACACAATTATGCAGATTATTATATAATATCTGTAAAAGTAACATAATATGCAAGATGACACCCATTTCAGATAATATAAGTTTAATATTAGCAGCTAGCTTCAACTTTCATTTTATTTTTCGTTAAAAGGAAGAATAAAATTCCAACCATAATAACTGCACCTTTGACATTATTTTGACATGTAAAGGAGCATCCTCGAAACTTTAGGGGCAACACAACAACTTACAATACCAAACTGGACTACAAGAGAGTCTGTGTTGTGTGAGGGCAAAAAGGGATGGGAAGAGGATGGTCGTTTTACAGGGATTTGCTTCCAATTGTGGTGATTATAGGCAATGAATGCAATGACATGGGCTTACTCACACTGTTCAAAGCAGCCACACTGCAAGGGATGAATAATCATGTCTTTGTTGCCTATGCTTATGCTGTTGCTACCACTATACTCATTCCTGTGACTTATTTCAGCAGAAGGTGGCTATTGTTTATTGCAAATCATAAACAAACTAACATCTAACACCGCCACACAGCACTTTAATGGTTTTATTATGTTTTTTTTTCATGTCTTTTTGCAGATCAAGAGTGGTTCCTCCACTTAGTTTCTCCATAATATCCAAAATTGTTCTTCTTGGGGTGATAGGGTAAAGCCACTTTATTACTTGACTGTAGGGTGTGTTTGGATACAGCTTATTTATGCACTTATTCAATAAGTTATTTTCAAACTAAAACTTGGGCCATAAATTTAATTATGAAACTTAATAGGATAAGTTGAAAATAGCTTATTTTGATAAGTTACTCCAATAAATTTACTGAAATAACATGAAAACAACTTACGAAAGTCATAAGCTCTTCCAAACAGGCCCGAACCCATAGTTGTTAAGGCCTTTTGGTTTTTCTACCAGTTAGTGTTGCTGTTAATTAATTGTCGTCCAGGGAATATCTCATCAATTTTATGCTTTTGATAATTAACGTTTCTTGTTTTGTATTTTGATGGGCATGTGTTGCAGAAGTTCTTCTCAGGTGCTCGGGTATGCTGCCGTTAGTTACAGTTCTCCAACACTTGCTTCATCTATTGGCAATCTGGTGCCTGCTTTCACCTTCATCCTTGCTGTAATTTGCAGGTTCAATCTCCTTGTTAATTGGACTTTGCAAAATCTTATTTAAGCAAGATTTTAATTTCTTTTGTACTGATGGGTATCATATTTTATTCGACCTAAATATCTATATATTATTTGACAAAAAGTCTTATTTTCTTTTCTTGCACGCAATGCAATGCTTAAATCTTTAAATTACACAAGCACACTTGATAGTGTATGACAAGAGAAATGACCAAATTAGTACCCCACCACTTTATTCAATATTTTCAGATTAATGACAATGAATCAAGGTTTTCAATTTCATTGGGAAGTACAAAGACTGATTTAAGAAAAGTTAACCGACTAAGATCAAGATACTAATTACTATTCATCACAAATATTAGAGCTTATGTTTATAAGATCTCTTGGAAGTTGCAAAACATGACCTGAGTTTCGAAACTCGCTGTGATCTTTGGAGAAAATGGTTTTTAATGGTGTATGGAGTGTTTATCATTAACCACCATGAAGATATTAGTCTATTTTCCACTTATTTTGTTTTCTCTTATCCTCTTACCTTTGCAAATTAAGGATGGAAAAGTTGTCTGCCAAAAGTAGAAGTAGTCAAGCTAAGGTAATGGGAAGCATAATATCAATAGCAGGTGCATTTGTATTGACTTTCTACAAAGGCCCATCTATCATCAATGCTCACACACATCTTTCCTTACTACAACAACCAATTAGCTTTCTTAAATCAGAGGATGCAAGTTGGGCCATTGCTGGTATTCTGCTAATAGCTGACTACTTTCTGGCTTCAGTATGGTACATTTTACAGGTAGGTTTGGTGTTGTGTAAAGTGAGAGGTATAGTTTAGAAATTAAAGTGCACAATCGATGATGGTTGATAAGAATAAGATCATCAACTGTGTAGAATATTTTTTAAATACAAGCACAAGATAATTGATAAATGAGAATTTGGTTCCTTGATTTTCTAATTAGCAGTTGCTTGCACCTTATTCTAAAAGAATATGCTCCTTACTTTAGAGGATCCAAATCCTTTATGCAATTACATTTCTTTTTACTTTATATGAAAAGCTTCAAAATGTTGGTTCTAAAATATTTTAATTCTTTTGCAGATGGATATCTTGAAAGTGTTCCCAGATGAACTAACTTTAGTCTTCTTTTACAATGTGACCGCCACCATATTATCTATAGCTGTAGGTTTACTTACAGTGCCAAATGCTAGTGATTGGAAAATAGGAGTAGATATTTCACTGATCTCCATTGTTTGCTCTGTAAGATACCTGCAAACTGTTGTTGCACTTTGAACCAAAAACATACCCTTTCTATGCTTGTGTGGTTTATTGATGACACTTATTTTTTTTTCTTCTTAGGGAATATTTGGAAAGTTAATGAGCAATGTAGTTTATGCCTGGGCCCTGCATTTAAAGGGGCCTGTCTATGTAACATCATTCAAGCCACTCCAAATTGTTATAGCTGTTGCAATGGGTGTAATGTTCCTTGATGACACTCTTTACATTGGAAGGTATGACTACTTCAATCTTTTGCTTTTGGTTCTTGCTTAAAACATGGGCAAAAAATTATACAAGATAAACAAAGCTAATGCTATCTGACAAATTTGTACATGTTGGGTATATGCTCTATGAAATTGTCAAGAATGAAACAGAAAATCAGGGTGGTAATGGACATAAGGATGAGTTAGCTAATAGGAAGAACCATGCTGGTTTCAAAGAAGAGAAATCATATTTGAGAAGAACTCTAGAATAAAATAACTTGCTGGTGGTTGATTGGTTACTCATGGAATAGATGAAGAATCGTCCCTTAAAAACCTTGTTACTCGTGATCAATCTTGGAAGCAAATCCTTCCCCATTTTTCCCCCTCTGAAAGTTGAACCTTGTAAGGCTGGTAACTCCTTTATATAGTATAGAACTGCTACATCAATAGAAGCAATATATAGATAAAACAGATGCTCAAACTCAAACTTAGTCTCTTTTTGGCGATTTTCTTGCTAATTTGTGATTTTCCACGGTAGTTTGTGAAATGTTCATTTGTGTATATTCATTCTCTCCACAATTTGCAGTATAGTTGGAGCCATAATAATATCACTTGGTCTTTATGCTGTACTGTGGGGCAAATCAGCAGAAGGGATAGATGAAGATGTTGGTAGCCTTGAATCACCAACTACTGAAAATGTTCCTCTCTTGCAAAGCTACAACAGAACTGAAACTAACTGAAAAGAATGTTTAAAAGACAATTACAAAACAAACTCTTCCCCACTCTTAACATCATAGAAAACTGTAAAGAACCCATTTTCCTGTCATAGAACAGCATGGTACACACGGCTGTAAGGATCAAAACTGTGGTTGGTTTCATTGTCCCTCGAGTGATCCTGTGGCGGTGAGTGGTGACTGCCCAAGTTGTTGCCCCTCTAAAGTGAATGCATGACTTAAAGCATATGTGGCAATGAAGGAGATTGCATTCAATTAATAAGTGTTCTTTCTTATGTCCTTTTACCTTTTCATTAAGCAAGGTTGGTGATACATAGTGCTGCTGTTACTTTCTTATTTGAAGATACACAATTATAGAGACTGTGTAGGTAAGGTTTGCCTTTGAATGGAGAACGCAACCTTTCTTCAAGTGTTTCATAGAAGAGCTGACATCTCTTTGGCTACTACCCTGTCAATCTCAATGTGAAGATTTGTGGATAAGTATAATATAAATGTATGTTAACTTTTTATACAAGAAAGTGAAGGCCATATTGCATTTTAAAGCACCTGCTCTTCCTTTATAGAGCATTCTTTGCATATTTATCTTTATTTGAAATGCTTAATTCTCCCTTAAATGGGAAAGGTTTTACTCCAAATGGTCATGACTGGAACTAGAGTTACTATTGAAATGTATGGAAATAGCACAGCTTATCTGTGTAAGGTATTGAAATGTTTGTGGAAACGTTGATGTCATAATAATTGTGCATATTTGTGGTAATTTATACTTATTTATTGCAAAATCATTTTATTACCATATATAGATATCAGTTTTAGGAGCTGAATATATAATCCTTGGAAATCTGCTGAATCAAATATTTAATGAGATAGGTCTCATAGACACAGACAGTTTTCACATAAACTCTCTCTCTTATATTATTCTTTGATACGTGTCTCGTGTATTTCTGACATGAAGTACGTTAGAAAATATTGCAATGGTTGATAAATATTGAAAGATCGTTGCTTAATAAAAAATTACATACGGATCTCATTATTAGATTCTAAAAATTTTGGAAAGATACATTGGACTTTCTTATTGTAAGTCAATTCAAGTTTTCCAGAAATAAGTTTTAAATTAACTCTTCTAAATCCATGAAACAAGCCATTAAAACACTAGTTTCATGAAATATACTACCTGTCATTAAGCCTAAAAAAGATAATTAACGTAGTGGTTCAGTAGTTAATTCATTTTCTAGATACAATATTCTTAAGGATCCCAATGGTACTATGTAAGGAGAGGTTATATGGGATGCAATGCATGGTCTAGAACATTATCAATGCAAGCTTATGTTCAACCTTGTCGGGTTTTCTTTTATTTTTGTTGCCTATATTTTGCGCATAAAATTTTTGCCATGTTTTAGGCCTATCACATTTCTTTGTTAAAATTTTTAAGTATTTTAATAGTGGCACCAGAGCATGTCTATTGTTATATCCGTATGGTTTCGTCTTCAAATTAAATTTTTCTATTCAAATTTGTACCTACCAAGTTATCAACGTAGGCAACTCTGTCACCAAGTCCAAAATGATGATTCCTACTTTAGTTCAGCTATGTCGATCATTCTTACACAGCTAAGTTTGCTTCTCATGCTCAATCTTTTCTTGCCCACATACCAAAACAAGCTCTTGTCACATTCTTCTTCATTTTCCCATTAATAAAGCTCTTCCTAGATTTGATACATCTTCACAGAATCTGAGTAAATAAAGTAAGCCAAGTAATGCATTCCATCATGTACTCTTTCATAAGTCCTCCATATGGACCACATCATGACTAGTACACTTCAAAATATCCCTGGAGTTTATGGAGAATTCAATATTTTTTCCAAAACCAAAAGTAGTGTGAAGGGAAAATTTCAAAAGAAGTATTTTGAGAAAAATTTAAAGTAGAAAATCCATCTAATTGATAAAACTTGAACCTAAAATTATAGGCAAAACCTACGAAACCAAATTATATAACACTTAGTGTAAACATCAGGGATGACAAGTAGGATTAACATCAACCACAAATTAATAATTGCACAAATGATGCTGTTCACATTGCATTACTGAAAAAAAAAAAAAAAACTCTGGTTTATCACCTGCTCCTTTTCTGTATTGTTTAGTGCAGAGAATGAAAATATATTTTTAGAAAATGGATAAGGATGGAGGATATATTGGCAAGAAAACAGACAGAAAATTGACAAATTTCATTGTTTTCAAGGGGGGTCACTGAGCAATTTGTCAGCAGTAGCAATCATGGCCCTGTTTCTATTATTCCATAAATAATTTAGAAATCATTGGAGAAACAACCTATGACAAATTGACAGTGTGTGCAAATAATAGTGAAATTTATGGATTATGTATCGATACATATACAAAATAAATTATGTTTACACTCTCTAAGATTTAATAAAATTTAACTCCACACTCATTTTTACATTACTTTGACTTACCCCTATTCAAGTAACAATATATTTTTAAGAAAAAATTTTGGGTGGTCCAAGATTACCTGATTCTGACCAATCACACTGACATATATCAATTTTTTTTTTTTTTTTGCAAATTATAAAATTTGTACGCATAATATAACTTTATTGATTCTAAATCATGCAAAAACTTTTCATCCATAGTTTGTTGTCATCCTACCAAACCCTCTGTCAATCTAAGAACATTGTCACCATTTTTTTGTTATTTTCTTCCCATGACTTTATACACTTTGAATATGGGTTAAGTTGGCGAAAATTATAGAGTAGGGTGTGGATGTGATTTGATGGAGGGAAATGTAATGGGGACAACTTGCCAAAATATCCTCAAAGTTTATTGAGATCTTAGATATATTTGCCATAAAGACTTAAAAGATAGAATAATGTGGTTCGTGCTACTACAAACCTGAATTCTATAAATAAATCACAATGTCATGGAATCACATCAGCTACATAATTGCTCTAAAGATTATCATCATATCTTGACTCTCGTTTTGAATGGTTTTGTTCATCACTTTCTCCTTTATTGCTTGCTCAGAATGGTATTGAAAATGAAAATCAATCTAAGAAAAAAAAAAAAAGTGAAACATGGTGGAGGATTGATTGGAGAGAAAAGTCACTTCCATTATCATTCAATTATGGATGATAAATCGGGTATGGTTTCATATTTAATCAGTGTTTAGTTTTTTTTTTTTAGTAAAGAAAAAAAAAGTTTAAAAGTTTAAAAACTACACCTAGAGGGTGAAAGTTAACCTCGCAAAGCTTTGAAAATTTTATAAAATTTTATAGAATTAATTATAAATTAATAAATATAATTGAACTTTAGTTTTAAATTTTAGAAAATTAATAAACTTAATTAAAATAATTGAAAATGCAACCTAAGCCCTTAAGTGCCTATCATGTTAAAGAAAATGTGTGTTTATAAATTACCTTTATCTTCTACTCTCATTTGATGTGATACTCTAAAGATGGGACATAACTTGTAGTTAAAAAATGCCTCTCTGTAACCCATTTAATTAACATCTCAACATCAAATTACGATTAAAAAAGAAAATATGTTTAAGGAAAGCAAAACATTATCTTATTTGTTAATTTGTGCAACATAGTCATTTCTGTGTTGGCAGAAATGGCCAAACTCTGAAGGGGTCACTTTTTAGTAAAGTTTGTGGCGTATGGTGCTCATTCATGTTGGGGAGCTGTTTTATCAGTGCTTATAGATTTTTCAGAAAATGCTACAGAAAATTGTGTCTGGTGACTGTGAAGGGCATATTTTCATGTCAATTTTAAGTAAGTGGAGAAGAATATTTTAAAAGAATAAAATATAATTATAATTATTAGTTTAAATTATAAAAATTATAATAAAATATTTATTTAAAAGATAATTTATAAAATTATTAATATTTTAATTTTCAAATTTTTATTAAAAAAATTTAAAAACATCTGTTTGCTCCATAATAAATCCACTAAAATATAGAATTAGACTTCTTTTTAAGTAAAAAGTTTAGACTTTAAATTTTATAGTTGAATCAAGTCTAAAAACTTTTCTATGATTGGTTTTGAATTTGATTTTATTTAGTAAAATAAATTTATAATTTATTTTAAAATTTTAAAAAATTTTAAAATTTTTCTTTTGTAAAAAACTAGCAAACTATTTCATGAAAAAAAAATTAAAAAAATGCATAAATTTTATAACTTACTTATGAAAAGTTATTTCAAATAATATTTAACTTATTATAAACTGGTTTCTAATAATTTATTTTCTATTTTTATATAATTTTTAAAATATTTTACACTCACACAAAATAACTTTAATATATTCTTTAATTATTTAACACATTTTAATTAGTTTTATCCAACAACTCTAATTTAATCAATTAGTTATAAACTAGAAATATTTAATTATAAATTATAAATTATAAATTATAAATTTTCAATTAATTTTACTAAATTAAACCTTAATCTCAGTTTATCAAAATTTTAAATATGATTTTAGTCTTAATTTAGAGTTCTATTTTATAATCTTCCTATTTTACAATCTAAAACAAAAATGATCCATAAAACCAAAAGCTCAAAGTGAGCCACTCCACACTATTTGTAAGTAGGATTCGTTATTGAGGAACAAAGTATATACATCTTCACAGCTTTTATGTGATATTAAAGTTAAATTGTTAACTTATGTAATGAATATAACATATATTATATCAACTTGTGAAGTGGAGTGAGGGGTGTTTCAGAGACTGAGTCAAATTAGGAAGGTGTGATTCTGAGAGATGAACAGAAGATACTGTTACAAGGATTTGCTGCCATTTGTGGTGCTTATTGCCAATGAATGCAACAACACAGGCTTGTTCACTCTCTTCAAAGCAGCATCTCTAGAAGGGATGAGTAACTTTGTCTTCGTGACCTATGCTTATACTGTTGCAACTGTTGTACTCCTTCCAATTACTTTTTTCTATAGAAGGTTGTTGACACTTGACAAATTTTTCGCTGCAAAGCTTAAACAAATTCATAACTGAGCAGTTACAGTTACGCTTCAATTATTGTTTATCATGTCTTGTCTTTTGGTAGATCAAGAGCGGTTCCTCCACTCAGTTTCTCCATCTTATCCAAGATTGCTCTTCTTGGGCTGATAGGGTAAGGGCCCACAAGATTGCTCTTCTTGTACTTGTTGTGTTGACTTTCGTTGTTTTGTTTTGGATTTTGATGGGCTTGAATTGCAGGTGTTCATCTCAGATTCTTGGGTATGCTGGCATCAGTTATAGTTCTCCAACACTTTCCTCTGCAATCAGCAACCTAACTCCAGCTTTTACCTTCATGCTTGCTGTCATATGCAGGTTCCCTTCCCTTTCTTAAATTATTATTTGACTCTTTTTTTTTTTTTCATTATGCACAGTTTTCATTTTTCTACTTAGGATAGTGTGTGTCATAAATTTAGCTTATTTTAAATTAAGGGTAAATGCTGCTCTTATTTTCTCCTGTTTTTGACTTTAGAGGAGTCAAATTCATTGAAAAAGTGTGTATGAGAAGGTGTTGCTCACATGGCTCTTTCAAAAATATTATTTCCATGACAATTTGGTTTTTCAATTTTTATACCAATTAACAATGTGCTAGCTCTACATTATTCTAAGAATTATTCCCCTTGCTTGATCTTCAAGAAAGACAAAACTTGTTAGCAGTCAATTTTAATTTTACTTTCTTATCCTATTACCACCACAATTTAAGGATGGAAAAGATAGCTGTAAAAAAGAGAACAACCCAAGGCAAGATTTTGGGCAGCATTGTATCAATATCAGGTGCATTTATTGTGACTTTCTACAAAGGCCCATCAATCATCATTGCTGATAATTCCATTTCCATTCACCTTCCACAATCAAATGGCATTCTTACTTCAGTGGATATAAATTGGGCCATTGGGGGCCTTCTGCTGACAGGTTGCAATATACTACTTACTATATGGTTCGTTTTCCAGGTACATATTTGTTGTTGCTATGTATGAAACTATTTGGTAAGGTAGCAATCAAATAATAGTAAATTCTGATATTGATTTTACAGGTCGAAATCTTGAAGGAGTTCCCGGATGAACTAACTATGGTCTTCTTTTACAACTTGTGTGCAGCCTTTGTTGCTGCAGTTGTAGGTTTATTAGGAGAGAAAAATACAAGTGCTTGGAAAATAAGACTAGATATATCATTGATCTCCATTGTTTGCACTGTAAGATACCCTTTGAAATTTTTGGTGCACTTTCACCTAAAAAATTACACTCAGCTAATCCAATTTGTTGATGATGCATTTTGTAATTAGGGAATATTTAACAAGTTCCTGAGTAGTGCAATATATGCATGGGGAATACACTTAAAGGGGCCTGTATATGTAGCAATGTTCAAGCCACTCTCAATTGTTATTGCAGTTGTCATGGGTGTTATGTTCCTTGGTGATACTCTATATATTGGAAGGTATGAGTATTTCAATTTGAACATTTGATTCTTCTTTAGAACATGGTGAAATAACTAGAAAAAAGCAGATAAATAAAGCAATTGTTATCACCCTTCCTCATCATGACTCATCATACCTGTGAGGCAATGATTATCCAGAGTTAAACCAAACAAGGATTTGGAAAAAACTAGACTGAGACTAATTGGTGGTAAATTGGTTACTCATTGAAGAAGTGAAAACAATGCTCCCTTAAACAAATTAATTCATTATCATATAACTTGCTCATCTGGACAATAACTCATCTGGACTCTGGAAGTGGGTCCTGGTCCTCATATTTCAACTAACTGAAAATTTATACCTGCCAATGAAGCTAAGCTAAGTGAGTGTTTGAAAACATGTTTGCATCTCTAGAATCATGTTGAATAGATGCACAAGTGTTTTGATTATTGTGTCAACATGTTTGGTAGGTCTGAATTGAAAATGATGACTCTAAAGTCACATTTAAGTAATTGTGATAAATTATATAACTTCTGTGTTGAGCTGAAAAAATTATATTAGCTTTTACTACAAAACTTACCTTTAAAAGAAAAGTTTCCAAACAAAAGTTTGCAAATGCTTACCCAAACACACACACAGTCCTTTTGTACAGAACTGCAACATCAATAGAAACAGAAGATATAAAAACTGCTAATATCAAGCATATGACCTTGTGTTCTTATTCATCCTCCACCTGGAGCTAGCCACTCTTTGTAATTTGATTTATTGTTAATAAAACGCTGTTTTAATCAGTACTAAATGTCATTAAAATCCTTGGAAAGTTCCAAACAGTCACGCAATTTGATTTCTACTCCTGATACATTTTCAGCATAGAAAAGAACTATGCAATTTCAATGATATTGTATGTTGACCTACTTATTTGAATAACATTTTTCCTTCATTCTGCAGTGTAATTGGAGCCACAATAATATCAATTGGATTTTATACTGTGATGTGGGGCAAAGCAACAGAAGAAAAGGAAGAGGAGGAGGACGATGTTGGTAGCCAGGAATCACCAACTACTGAGAATGTTCCTCTCCTGCAAAGCTCTAAAACTGTAAATTTTACAAAGAACATAGATGGAAGTGTATAGAGGATGGAATCACCAACTACAGTGAAGTGAGATGTGCTTCTTGCGAGCAACAAAACTGTGAATTCTAAATAGAAAATAGATGGAAATGTATAGAAGACAAATATAAACTGTTTGCGCCTCGAGTCTTGACATTATAGAAAATCATGTTAGAGACCATTTTTTGTCACAGAACAGCATAGTGCTATGAGGGTTAACACCTTGGTTTCATTGTTTCATAAGTACCCAAGTTGTTACATACCACTTTGCAGGACAGTGTATGGAAGATTTCAGAAGTGGTTCACTGGATTTAGGACAATGAATGGAAAATGGGAATGCATTTAGTAAGTTTTTTGTTGTGTCCATTCATCAACAAGCAAGGTTGGTGAAAACATCATTTTCTCTTGTTTTCAAGTCATCAGGCACTGCTGTAGTTATGGAATGTGTTGTGAAAATATCTGAAGTTGCCTTAGTGGCAGTGCTGCATGTATCTGCAGAAAATGGTACTCAAAATTTCAAATTTAGTGCTTATCTAAACTTTCATAAAAGAGTTTGATGAGCAAGAAAATATTAAGAGGCCAAAACAGGGGTTTGTCTATTTCATTTTTATGCCAAATGTCCAGTGAACTTCCATGCATAGGCAATTATTAAAGAGATTGAATTTCAATTATCCACACAGCTAACACACACACAACATATATTTATATCAAGTTTTGTTACGTACTCTTACTATTTTATAGAGTAAGCATTATATGAAAAAAAAATGCATTTATCATCTTAAAAACATAACATATTTAGTACTTCCATCATATAGTAATTAAGAGAATTTATGGCAATAAAAGCTAGATGAAATATAAATTTTTTTATATTATGCATTTCAGCTACATTAGTAAAGTTAATTTATAAAAGGCAGATAAGGATATATCTCTGTGGTTGAGCTTCCTCCTACTTTTGGCACCTAGCAAAGAGTAGTAAATTCGTTGTGACTTCTATTTTGTTTTTTCCAAATGCCACAGTGCCTGCACTACATACAGATTCCTGGTTCCCTGTGGATTTGTCCCCTACCATCTCCATGACACATTTTGTTCATAATTATCAAGGACTTTATTTGGCTTCATTTGCTCAATATGGACCAGGTTCAAGGTTAAACAGCATCATGGAAAAAGAAAAGGGGTTGGACCTTTGGTTTTCTGAGAGTGAAGAGCTTGAAAATTGGAAGAGTGCAAAAAAGAAAAAAGAAAAATATATATCAATTTATGATATAAGTATTTTAAATTTTTTAAAATTTATTAATTGCAAAATGGGTATTTAATAATTGTTTAACATGGTGTAGTGTTAGCATTTCTCATGAGTAATACAGTGAAGAGAGTCATGAATAATCCTTCTTACCAGTTCTGAAAAGGCAGAGGAATTTTGGAGTTTTGGAAAGGTGGCCTCTTTCTTCTTCTAGTGAAGAGATCATTGCTCATGGCTCTTTGTTTCTTCTCTAGTGTAATGGGACATGAACTTGTACTACCTTGAGTTATTCACTTGTTTTTATTAGCTAGGTCTACTTGGTACTTAACATGCTTGGTTGGTGTAGTTACAATAAAAATTTGCAGAAACCTGAAGGAGCTTCCTTTTCTTTTTCTCAGTAGTTTCAACCACAACAATTTTATTGGTGTACTTGACCAATCTCTACTTGGCAAGTAACCAAGTTTTTCAAAACTCTGTAAAAGAGTTGATAAAACATGATCACATGTTGTTTGCAAATTAAATTGGCTTAGACCACAAACATGTGGTGTTCCTAGATCCTAAATAGTTTCAATGTGGGGCAAGGTTGTTTTAATTCTGAACATAAGAAGTCAAAACTAAATCAAACTGCAAAAGAAAATATGATTTTTTTTTCCCCAGTTTTTAATGCTTTAATCGATTTATCGATTTTCTTGAACAAAACGTGTTACATTACTTGTAGACAGTTTTAGTCAGCCCTTTACTTCAATTAGAGTATTAGACTTGGTCTACATTTCCATTAATTGCATTGCATGGCATTACATATAGTTGGCGTGCAGCAAAATATTTCATGAAATATTTCAAGATATTTTTTTATGATATGAATTGTATTTTTAATATATGCATATAAAAATAAAAATACAATAAAGTAAAATAATTATGTACGATATCGTATATCATATTCTTTTTCTAATTATTAAAATCAAGAATGAATAACGCACATGAAAAAGATTGAACTTCAAGGAAATAAATGCACATTTTCTATTCAAATCTTACTTTTATTAGCAGTTTGTTGTTAAATTTGTTTTTGGTTGGTATACTTTTATTTAAAAATTAAGCTATTAATGTAAATATAATGAATTTATATTAATAATATATTATATTATAAATAAATAATTTTATCAAAGCAAAATATTGGCTTAATGATTCAAATAATATCAAATTTAAAAATAATTACCAAAATAAAATAAAATAAAAAGTTATTCTGGGGTAAAATTTTGTCACGTAAGTACCTATTTCGTATTCAAATCAGACGAAATTAATTTTTGATTTTTTTATTTAATGGTTTCACCCTCAATTTGGACGAAATGTATAAAATTTGAATTACTCTTTCCCACTCCGCGACACGTGACCCAATCACGTAATTTCATTCTTGAGTCAGACAGAAAGGTAATTTTGTCTTACTCAGGGACAAAACTACGTAATTGGGCCACGTGTCGGCGGAGCAACAGACCCTGCCCCTCCTTCTTCCCTTCTCCTCCTCCGATGTTTTAAACGTATTTCTTCCATTTTTTCCGTTCAGCAAGCTAGGTGGGTATTTTGTTATCATTTTAGCGTGATTCGTGAGTGAGATTGGTCATCCATTGCAGAATCGTGTCCAGATCTGTTTGGTTTTGCAACAATTGAAGGTGTTTTTGGATTGAAAGTTTAAGGAGGTTGAGAGAAGTGCACAGTTTACCGTGAACGAAAAAGAAAGCTAGTCAGAGGTTGCCGGAGAGACGCCGCTGCCGTCCAGACAACTTGCTGTTGTGGCTGGGAGCCCTCCATTGCCGGAAATCGCCACCCTTCGACACCGAAAATCACCACATCCGAGCCGGAAATCTACCACAAATATTTCCATTTTTAATATAATTGATTTTTATATTTTTTTTATTTTGTATAAATAAAAATACTTGTACATTGTAATAAAAAAAATTTATTGTGACCAAAATTTTTATAGTAAAAATAATATTAAAAATTAAAATTTTATAACTAAATTTAATAAATTTTTAGCCTGTAAGAAAAAAAAATTTATAGTATTTTTTAGATTAAAAATGTAATTGACATAATTTTGTTAATTTTATAGAAATTAAATAATAACCATAATTTTGTAAAATTAAATATTTCTAATAATATTTAGTATAAAAATTATTGTTTAATGTTTGAATCAACCATAAACCGAGAAATAAGTCTAGATATGACATGATTATTACTAAGATTCAATTTGTCATGAATCTTTTTCTTTAAATTCATAAAACTTATCCCACTTTTTATCTTTATCATTTTTGTGTTACCTTCAAATGTCACACCTTCGTTTCTAACAACAATTTTTCCATTCCAATATACAATAATAATAATCTCACTCATTCTGCACTTATAAAAAAAACATATCAATAAAAATTTACAATTATACTTATTTATATAAATAATAAAAATAAATTATTATTAACACATACAAACATACTATTATTTTTCACATCATTTTATATTACAAAAAATGTAATATTTTTTCCACATATATAAAATAAATATTCTCAACAAATACAACATTATCTTTTTTATTAAACAAGTTAATATTAAATATCTACTAACTTCTATAATTATTTAACAATATTTAAAATATTAATTTTTAATTTTAACATACACAAAAAATATTTATTAAATATTTATCAATTTTTACCTCTATTATTTTAAATAATTAAAACATTTCAATTTTAATAATTTATAAATAACAAAAATACAAAAAAAAATATTCAAAATTTACTAACCTTAAAATTTCTTCCAATCTTTAAAATTGCAGGAATGTTTCCCTTCTTCTTTCAATGTGATTTCGTGATTTGGATATGCAAATATAGCATTATATACTTTATTTGTGCTGGATAAAAGGGGCAGCGGAAGGAAGTTGACCAGCAGATAATAATAGTTTCGTCTCAAATATGGGCGAAACCATAACCATTTCGTCTTACATGTGGATGAAATTAGCAAGATAAATACATGTGTCGACATCCTATGGTTTCGTCCTATTTTGGGATGAATTACTGAAAGGTTGACACGTGGCCATTGTTTCATCTCTCATTTATACGAAACCATTGACACATGTTACCTTTTGGAGTGTTTCGTCCCTTTTTTAGACAAAATGATGAATTTTTAAAAAAAAAATTGATTTCATCTAGTTTAAATACCAAATAAGTGTTTGCGTGACAAAAATTTGTTCTAGACAGAGAATAAGTTTTTATTTTATTTTATTTCAGTAATTATTTTTAAAATTAATATTATTTAAATTATTGTGCCAAAAATATTACTCAATTGTAAAGAAATTCTTTTTATAAATTTTAGTTTTTGGCCATCAAGCAGTGTGTCCTGTTCCTTCTAAAACTTAAGTTTGGTGTGAAATATATCTCTTATAATTATATTTTTTATCTCATATTTTTTTCAGTTTAAAAATTATGAAAATATTAATTTTTAATTAATGTTTAAATTTTAATCATTTTTCAATAATTAATTCAACTGCATTTTAACTCTTCCAATAAATAAATTCTAATTAAAGAAAGTCATTTTGCCGCAATAATTCAAAGATTTATTAACAATTTTTTTAAAGATAGACGAAGAAATATCTACCATTATAAATATGTTGTGCCATAAAACATTCCTGCAGGATATGCAGTCAATAATGTAATAAACCTATTTTTGACACGTTTCTATTCATATCGTCTTTCTCTTTTTTATTTTCTCTTTGAATATGAATAGAATGGAATGAGAATTTGGATTTGGTGATTTCAATTGCAGAAACTATTAGTATTTGCGTTGTTCTTCCTTCAAAGTCCACACGCCCCCAGTTTTGGCTCTAATTCTGTTGGTTTCGCTGAGACTAATCCACCAAAGATTTTTCTTCAGATAGAAACATATGAAAGACAAAATATGATTCACTCCATCTTTATGTACTTTCCACGTACCTATCTTGCAGGGGACCAAACGTATTTATCTAATCGTTGACTTTTTTTCGTTCTATATAAAATTCAAATTTCTTAAATAAAAGAGATAAAATGCACAATTATGATTTTCTTATTTTTTCTCTCATATTATGTCTTTAATTGTGATAATAGAATATTATCAATTATATTCTTTAAATTTTGCAAATTTGAGGCAATGAATTCTGAATCCTTAGGGAATTTGACCGTGAATTTTAAGGACTGGAAATAAGTATTGGAATTAGGTCTGGATTAGTTTTGGGTTAACCTTAATTAACTAATCAAGCATTAAACAAAATATTTTAGAAACTTTGTCTTTACTGTTAAGATTTAATGAACTTTACAAATTTCAAAGAATCGTAATTTGGATTTTTCAAAAATTTTCTATCACATATGTAGCTTAAAGGATGACAAAGGAATATTAATAAGTTTTAAATGAACATAAAAAGAAAATCAATTTTTTTATAAATGTCTATAATAACGTTTTCTAAGTTTGTGACTTTAAATAAATGAATATATATATATATATATATATATAGGGCAGGATCTTCTTACACAAAATGTACTTAATCTGAGTCTTTTATTTAACTTAAATATAACTGTAAGTGAAGTAATAAATTATAACCTGTTAGATTTAAGTTAAATAAAATACTCAGATTGATTGTAAGAGTTTTTAAACTTATACTAATGTAAGAAGATCATATATATATATATATATATATATATATATATATATATATATATATATATATATATATATATATATAAACTAACCCAAAATATATATAATGCATGTAAAAAGCAAGTGTATCAAAACTATATATTCTGTCATGCCTATTGCTAAATTTTAATTCTTGATTAAATTTACACGTTTTCTAAGTTTGTGACTTTAAATAAATTTTAAATGAAAACTCAGATTTATAAGATAAAAAAAGGCTGAAAATAAAGTTTGAACAAGTTTAATTTATGATACTTAGAGCTTGTTCTTGTGGTATCTTTGAATAATCACAATTATTGGAAACGAGACAAATTAAGTACCCTTGATGATGTAATGGATGATGATGAATTGAACCCTTTTTCATTTCTTCAAAGATTGTGAAGTGTGATTCTCGGTGGATTTGTTAGAAGGTATGATTAATATAATGTTTGCTGGCACAAATTTAATATACAGACCACACGCAGCCCCCTTTGCTAAGCTTTGGTTTAAGTTTTTAAGGGTTTGTGTTTGATCTTGAGTTTTAGACAACCAATTTTGGAAAATTGCTTCTAAAAAATTTATAATGATTGATTGATAGTTTAGAAAATTCATATGAAATTTGTCAAAAGGAAAAAAGTTAAGGATTTTGTATACTTTTTATTTTAACAAATTTTAGATTTTTCATAAGATAAAAAATAATTAAAAGAGAAATTTAAAGTTTACTTATGAAATATTAAACCGAAACAAAAGACCTTTGATGGCATTAATTAAAGAATATCAACTAGCGGAATTGTTAAAGCAACCGTTTAAATTTTAATTTTGATATCATTATTAATTTTTAATAAATTAAAAAATCTTATTTCATTATCTTAAATAGACAAAATAAAAAACATTTATATAATAATTATTACTTGTTGTTTTTAATTATATATAAATTATATTATGTTTAAGTTCTTTAGGTTTTAGAAGTCATCACGACATTGAATCAAAGTTCTAATGAATGCGTTAAAATATTAAGGGCTTGAGTTTGATTTTGTTTTTGGGTTTTTGAAAATTATTTTGTGAATTAATTTTGAAAAAAAATGTTTTTGAAAAAAGAAAAAATAATATTTGGTAATTCTGTCCTTGAAAACTATTTTAGATATGTGAAAATTTAAAAAGTTGTTTAATAATTTTGTTTTTATAACATGTTTTGAGGGAAAAAAATTGTTTCGTTGTATTAACTTTTTTCTGAATTTCTTAAATTAAATGAAAGAATTAAGATAAAAAAATTTTGTTGAATATAATTTTTGTTTCTAAAGTTATAATCCTATTTTGAAAATCATACCTATTTTTTGTTTATTTTTAATCCTTCCATTTAATAAAAATATTGTATAGTTCATATATCCTTTCATTTTTATTAATTTTAATCCTTACTAGTTATATAGAACAGATAAACATGATATTTTTTCTTCTTCTTTTCTTTAGATTACATAAACCAACAAGAGGAAGCAGCAAATTAAAAAATGGTCATAATATTGTATCACAACACGTAAAGAACCAAATATAGCAAATCATCACCTGAACCGATCAACGAAAATTGAACTATTTTATTATTCTTTATTTATCCAATTACCTACTTCAGGATAATGTTTTGAATTACGAAAAATATTTATGATTTTATCTATTTTAGAAATTAATATTCCATTTTATATACTTTAGCAATGACCTAATTCAGGATAATATTTCAAATTTACAAAGAAAGTGAGTTTTCTCCTGCATGCACATGTTAGCAATTTAAATTTTTTATTTCCATTTTATAAAATTAATAAATAATTCATTTTTTATAATTTTATTCTTAATAACTAATGTTTGTTTTGTAGAAGATAATAAATAAATATTATGTCAGAATGATGTAATAGAAAGTTAAGTAATATGTCATCTTTTATCAAATTTAGAAGACAAATTGAAAGGTGCTGTCTCTTTTTGAAAGCCTCCGTGCCTTCTCTAATTTTGTGTCTACATTCATATTTTTTAATAGAATAATGAAAAGAATAAAATTGACTCTTATCACATTTTATCAGTGTACCTTAAAATAACAAGGGAAATAGTATTATACCATCATATTCGATGTTTAAAATAAAAAAATAGATATCTAAATTTAAAGTCTCCCTTTTATTAAAATTAATATAAATAGTCATCATTTTATAATTATATTTATAAAATGATTATATATATATATATATATATATATGTAAAAAAGTATTCTTATTAAAAAATGTTCGTATAATTTTTTTATAAAGATATTAAAATTATATTTCATAAATTATCAAAAGAGAGTATGAAATGTGAATAAAAAAATTTATTCATCCTAATAATTCTTAACCCACTACCTTCTTAAAGATAAAAATTTAAAGTACAAGAAATATGATAATTCTACATAATAAATTATTATAAAATACTAAAAATAAAATAAAATAAGTTATCCTAGTTTCTTATATCATATTGTTCGACTATCAAACACATAATAAAAGTTAAAAAGAAAGAAAGAAAGAAAGAAAGAGTAGTTGTTTATTCTTTCGCCATCACTGAACAACGTATATAATTATGTGTCCCATTTCATCTATTTTCTAGTGGTCATAGAACTATCTTAGCTAACAGCAGCAAAGCTAGCAAGTGGCAGCAAAAAATCTGATCAATTAATAAATTATTGCCAAAAGATCACAATTGGCTAACTTGATTATCCTTATCTTTCAGTCGCTTTTCCTACCCCATTGCTTTTTGTAGTTATATAATAATATTTTATTAATCTTTAACACGTTTAATTTTCAACAACATGAAAATAAAAAAGAAAAAAAAAAACTAGTTGGCTTTAGGTAACTTCTTGCGCATGAAGTTTGAACATAGAATTTTAAGACAATGGTCAGCTTCATAGCCATGAAGAACGAACCAAAATTGAGAGCAACATGTCCCCCCTCTGAGCTTATAAATACAGATGCAACCTTAAATATCAGTATACATATATACCAACTTTTCATCAAACTTAATTAGCCTTGTGTTAGAGGAGCAACCATGTGGCATGTGGTGACTGATCCCATTAGAACTCTTGTTGCAAGAGTTCTACACCATTTCATCCACAAAGATTTCCATGAAGCAGTGGCAAGGATGACCATAATAGATGCTTTTCTCTTCATTGTACAGTTCCCTCTCCATCATCGCAAATGATTACACTTGTCGCTTTAATATATATTCATACACCCTTATAGTATCTTGATGATTAATTAATTATCTGTGTGGCTTATATATATGCAGATTATACACTCCATTGATAAGATGGGGATATGGCCTCGATTGCCTGTTTTCTTAGGCTTATTGTACTTAGCCATTAGGCGCCATCTTCACCAAGAGTACAACCTCTTCAACGTTGGAAGACAACCAGTGGGGATAAGGTTCAACGCTAGTGATTTTCCATATAGAACAGATGATGGAAAATATAATGACCCCTTCAACGAAGTTGCTGGCAGCCAAGGCTCTTTCTTTGGCAGAAATGTTCTCCCTGTGGATCAGAAAAGCAAGGTTAACAAAATAATAGCTTTTATGCTTTTGTTTGTTAGGTTTGAGAAACATAATAAAAAAAATATTAATAACAATTTTTTAATACACTCTTTTTTAACTAACTTTGTTATTACCTGAAGTTTATTAAAATTTTAAAATTATATAGGTCTTATTCTTAATTTAATAATTTTTATTTATATTTTTATTGTTTTTATTAAATTTCTTAATTGAAAAATGTGATTCTAACCTTCTTCAAAAGATAAAAAAATAAAAAGAAATAATTTAAATATAAAAGAAGTAATAAAAAAATGAATTTAAAAATTTATTTATTATGAGAGAAATATGAAGAAAAAGAAAGTGCAGAGAAAGAAAGTAAATATTTATCAAAATATAATTTTATCTCTGTTAAAAACATGGAGCTATAAATAGATGTATGAGTATTTTATAGTATATTTGGGAGGAGGTTTTTAGAGAGAAAAAGAGGGAAGAGCATATTTTTTAATTTTAAATTAAAAGAATTATATATTATTTATATCTTTTATTTTAAAAAAATTAATTTTAAATATATTTATTTAAAATATAAATTTATGTCTTCCTTTCCAAAATTCCCTTCTCAGAAAACCCTTAAAGATTCTTTTTTCTTCAAATGAGATAAGAAAATAAAAAGTAATGAGTCCTACTACTACCCTTTTTTTCCCTCTCCTTGATCGCTTATTAAATAAGGAGAATATCTCCTCTCTAACCTTTTAACATCTCACATCAAAAGCATAAGTGCTAATTTAATTAAAAGTGAAAAATAATAAAAAATTATTACAAAAAATTAAAATTATAATAAATATTTTTACTTTCTAAATATTTTTTTGTACTTTCAGTTGTTTGAAATCAATTTATAATTGAATGCAAATCAAAACTAATTACTTTTTATGTTATATTAATTGGCCAAGACAAGAAAGAAAAACCCTTCTACTAGTTGAGCTTAACTAAAAGTATTTCAGTTGATGAGCATGTTAAATTGGTTTATATATTCTTATTTTTGTCCCTCTTGAGGATTTGAAAACATAAATTTGTGTGTGCAGCTATTGAAGCCAGATCCAATGGTGGTAGCTGCAAAACTGCTAGCAAGGAGAACATACAAAGACACGGGGAAGCAATTCAATGTGATAGCAGCTTCTTGGATTCAATTTATGATACATGATTGGGTCGATCACTTGGAAGACACTAACCAGGTCCTTAATTATACCCAACACCCCATTAATTAATTTTTAAAATTTATTCAAAAACACATTTCATCAAGAAATCATATTTTATGACACTTGCACACACAAATTTTATAAAATATATTTTTAGAGTATTGTATTAGCCTATCAACTTTGAAAACATTAAATCTTTGTTTTCAAATTATTTATGACATTATTATTTTTTTGGGGTCAAATGACATTACTCATATCAAATCGCTTTGGCAAAAAAATATTATTTTTATAATTGTAAGGCCTGCATTTTTATTTTCATCATGCACTAACATGTTTATCTTTTTGTGAAATTCTCATACATATATATAGATTGAACTCATTGCACCAAGAGAAGTTGCAAGCCAATGCCCACTCAAATCTTTCAAGTTCTACAAGACAAAGGAAATTCCCACTGGATTCTATGAGATCAAGACTGGAACATCAAACATCCGTACACCTTGGTGGTAATATTTCTATTTTCTGTGTGCTAGATCTAAGAGAAATTTTGAGATTAGAACTATTACAATAATTAATCATGCAATAAGTTTATTCAGGGTAGAATCAACAACTTAGTTTGCATTTGTTTTTATACATAAATAATCGCTCGCATTAGCTATTATTTTTGTTTTAAAATTAAGGGGCAAAGTGAGAGCTAAAGTTAAATCTAAAGTTTAACTTACCAATTAATGATTAAATTAACGAATATGTTAACTATATATGAGGAGGAATGAATTGTGTTATATGAATTTTATAAATAAATGAGTGCGTGAGAGAGAGAGAGAAAAACAATATTATTAGTTCAAACTAAAAAGTCACTGTGTGATTTTTTTTTTTTTGTCGCTGATATATAATACGAAATATGAATCATGCATATTAATTATGGGTAATTGTATTAAAAAAAATAACTAGTGATTAGAAATGTATTTCCTTATAAGAGTAATGCGAGCGACTTTTTTTATAATTATTAAAAATTACAAAAATTACGTAAATTTTATTTTTTTCATAATTTTTAATTTCAAATTAATTTTATTCATTAATAAAGAGTATTTTTTAGGTAAATGTCACGTTCTCACGATGTTGACACAGGATTTTTCAAAATGGTGAGGCTGTAGACCGAGGGGAATGATACAAAAAGCTACTTTTCTTAAACCATACGCATTTAATTGGATGAATTGAAAAGTATTATTTGATGGCCGAAAGAATTTTTAAAAATTCAAGTGGGTTGACCCTAAGGACTTCCACGTAGGTTTTCATGAGAAAGGAAAGATATATGAGATAATCCATTTGTCTCTTATTATATACATGAGATAAATCATTTAGATCATTCATGGAACTACTGTCACGATAAATTAAAACAATTTATGACCAGTTTATAACTTTGATGAAAGAAACATTGTTCTAAGAAAGAATCGTGTTTGACCATTCAAAGAAATTTGTAAAGAAACATCACATACTCTCGATTAAATATTGGACTTATTTAGCTGAAATATATATATATAGTTTGTCTAACAGAAATAAAATTGTTGATATAAATATTATAGCTAGGTCTATGCTAACCATATGATTAGTATATGACACTAATGTATCATATTATTAAAATAACATATATAGTACAATTAATATAGGCTCATAATGTCTTCATTGATAGTTTATTTTTTACTAAACAAAACCCGTATCATCAAAAGCAGATCAAATAACTAATTAACCATCAACATGCATGATCTGGAATCATTTTGTATGAGCTTGTAGTATCTAAATAAGACCTTTAACGTGCATGCATGGGTTTGGTTGTAAAAGGGATGGAAGCGTCATATATGGAAGCAATGGAGAAGTTTTGAAGAAACTGAGAACATTCAAAGATGGGAAGATGAAGATATCAGAGGATGGTCACCTTCTCCATAACCAAAATGGAACAGCAATTTCTGGTGACGTTCGCAATAGTTGGGCCGGTGTCTCAACCTTGCAGGCCCTTTTCGTTCAAGAGCACAATGCAGTCTGTGATGCCCTCAAGGTAAAGATGAAGATTAATTAATTACTCAAGTAGTAGACATGATAGAATATATATAAAAATTAAAGAAAAAAATAAATAATAATAAAATAGGATAAGAGTATGTTATAAAATGAATGCATTCTAAGATAATAAATTAGATATATCATGTTATATTATTTATTTGTAATTTACGCCTCCACAGAATAAAAAATATACTAAGAAGAATAATATGGTAAGCTCATAGGATAGACTTTTTATACTTTACTGATTAAACAAACATAAAAAATAGGATAGGATTAAAAAAATTATCTTATTCTATTTTTTTTTATCATATCTACTAAATAGATTCAAACATGTAGAATATGCTACCTTGTATTGATGTAATATGTGCTATAAGCAAGTGATAGTAACTAACTATGTTAGAAAATAATCATTCTACACCCACTAATGATTTGGACAGTGAGATAAATAAAATAAATAGAGGATAAAAATGATATAAAAATAGTATAAAATATATAAATTGTGAAGTATATATAATATAAAAAAAAATACTAACTGTATACATGTGTTTCTCTATCTCAATGTTCTCCTTCAGAATAATTACCCAGAGTTGGAAGATGAAGAACTTTATCGCCATGCAAGATTGGTGACCTCAGCTGTAATTGCAAAGGTTCACACCATAGATTGGACTGTAGAGCTCCTTAAGACAGACACTTTACTTGCAGGCATGCGCGGCAATTGGTAAGACTCCAAACACCACAATTCTCTTGTGGTTCTCACACTCCTTATTGTTATTAATTTTGTATCATTTAAAAATGTTATGCATTTAATAAAATGTTAATTGGATAGTAGAAATTTAAAATTTACAAAAACAATATATATATATATGAAAATTGGACAAATCTTACATTGTATAGGTAAAAAAAACTATACGAATGAAATGAAAAAGGATAATAGAATAAAGTTTAATTATATATATATATATATATATATATCGTATATATTATTTGTAGAAATAAAATAATAAACTTTTGAATTATATCTTCTTCATAGTATTTTTAAAGTTGTGATTTTTAAATTTATATTAAAAGGGTGTTTAATTTTGTAAGGAAATAATTATACGATTAACTAAATATATTTAAAATCGTTTTATCATAATATATGTAGAAGTATTTTAACAATGACTTTTTTCCTTTTGAAAATGCTTAATGATGTTAAGTCAGTAGTTAATGGAAATAAAATGTGAGTCTAGCTAATACTCTGCAAGAGTTTATGTTAATGAAATTGAAGTGTATTTATTTTTAAATAAACACAATATCCAACATATAGTTGGAATTTGATTTTTCTTAACAAGGAATACTCACTCCAATTTATAGGAGTGTATATAATTTTGCTTGTCTCAAAGTAAAAAGATTAAATTTTAAATTAGTTGTATAGTGTATTAATTTAGAGCTTGCTGCATCCACAATAATAATAATTTTGATTTCAGGTATGGATTATTGGGGAAGAAATTCAAGGACACGTTTGGGCATGTTGGAGGAGCCATCTTGGGAGGATTAGTGGGTTTGAAGAGACCAGAAAATCATGGTGTCCCATACTCTTTGACTGAGGAATTTGTGAGCGTCTATAGAATGCATTCACTCTTGCCTGATAACCTAAATTTGAGAGACATATCTGCAACCCCGGGTTCCAACAAATCTCCACCATTAATTAAAGAGTATGATCACAATTTTTTACTCCAGCCCAACATTTTTGTTCTTATTCAGATACTGATTCATAAATTAAATTTTTAATTAAAAAATATATCAAAAGTATGTTGAAAACAATGTGAAAATGTGTTCATAAAATTTTCTAATTAATTCTTTTTAGTTTTTGTATCTTGACACTGGTTGGTATTTGTCTTTTATCTTTTACTTTGAAATGTTTACTCATAAAAAAAATCCCTTTTACTGTGAATGCTTTAAAAGAAAAATCTCACCCTTTTGGTATTATAGGGTTCCTATGAAGAATTTGATTGGACTACAAGGAGAAAAGGCCTTAACAGAGATAGGAGTTTCTACTCAACTTGTATCAATGGGTCACCAAGCTTGTGGGGCACTAGAGCTTTGGAACTATCCAATGTGGCTAAGAGACCTCATACCACAAAACACAGATGGCACAGAAAGGCCTGATCATGTGGACCTAGCTGCTCTAGAAAGTAGGATACATATATATAATTAAGACAATATCAACCTCTAATCTTAATATCACTCCCTTTTAATTATTATGTGCATATGACAAGGAACTAATGCAATAATATGATATAATAATGATGATGCAGTTTATAGGGATAGAGAAAGGAATGTGGCTAGATACAACCAGTTTAGGAGGGCACTACTATTGATACCTATCTCCAAGTGGGAAGATTTAACTGATGACAAGGAAGCAATTCAAGTATTGGAAGAGGTATATGGTGATGATGTTGAGGAGCTTGATATTCTAGTAGGTCTAATGGCTGAGAAGAAAATTAAGGGCTTTGCAATCAGTGAGACAGCTTTTGTAATATTCCTGCTAATGGCATCCAGGTAAAATCACAATTTAGAACATTTTTTATATTTAAAAGTGAATAAAAGTAATCATGATTTTAAAACGTTACTCAACAAACATTAATATTAGTTGAATAGTTGTGTTGTAAAGCAAATTGCAATAATGGTATGAACTTTCACCAATTTGTAGGAGGCTAGAGGCTGACAGGTTTTTCACAAGCAACTTCAATGAGGAGACATACACAAAAACGGGGTTGGAATGGGTGAACACAACTGAGAGCCTGAAGGATGTAATTGAGCGCCACTACCCTGAAATGACACACAAATGGTTGAATGCTTCTAGTGCTTTCTCTGTTTGGGACTCACCTCCCAACACTCACAATCCCATTCCTCTCTATCTTCGTGTTCCCCATTAATCTATTTGTTCAATGTTCACTTTGTTGTTCCTTTAAGTTATTTTACCTGTTTGTGTATTTGTATTTGTATTTGTATTTTAGTTTATGCATGTACACTAACTTATTTCTATATTGGAATTCAGCCTATTTATGCTACATGTATTTATTTTGTCTTCTTAAACAACAGTTTATTCCATAGATGCACACCAACATCTTTATGCCTTGGTGTATCAATACTTAATTAATTTGGATAATGAATTATGAGTATTAATTAATCATGATAGTTAAACTTTTATTGATAATGTACGTAATCTAGTGAAATCGTTAACAATGTACCTAGCATAAACCCCAGCTAGTAATCAAACATGGAACGTCACGGCAATTTGTAGCTAGCACGCAAAGAATACTGCTTTCACAAACTCAATTAATCTCATTTTCAAATTATGACAATATATTATTAACATAGACCCGAATCTTTTCCGTCGGAACTGCATGGTACATTTAGGTAAAAATTTGCATTTTTACTTAAACAAAAATGTATGAGTTTAAGCGAAAATACAAAAATACGTAAAAAAAATATGCGAGAACTGCTCTAAATCCTATTAACATATAATTAATTTTAACGTTACGTATAATTAAAAGTTCCAAAAATCCATTAATAATGTCTACATAATTATTGGCATAACGTACCAAACTTAACTCCAGCAAGTAAGAACATTGAAATTCATGACAATCAAAGCTTACATAAATAGAGAATTAAGAAGACAAAAAATAAAGCGTGCGTGAATAGAAGTAATTTAGAACATTGTATCCATTGTTTTTCAAGAAAAGAAGTACATTCAATTAATAAGCAATGTTTTTATCCTATCACCCTTGTTGTATGACTATAATAAATGTTTATTTTGTTTATATTCAAATGAACTATAAATACAAATACACAGTCTAAATGTACTAAATGAGATAAATTACATACGAATACTTCAGTAAAATACATTAATTCTTGGTCTATTTCACTTATTTTACCTTTTTTTTATTTGTTTTTGCACTTATCGAGCTTATGAAACTACTAAATTTATTTCACTCATCATTCCATATATTTATAATTTCTTAGTTTTTTATAAAATTAATAATTTTTTAAAATCAAGATAATTTGATTTTATTCTAACAATATCATATCAGGTCATTGGATCAAATTTAAGAGAATGATTATATAAAAAAATCAAATAGGGCAAATACACGGATAAATCTATCTCAGAGAATCTTAATATATAAATTAAAAATAAAGAAAAAGAAAGCGTGAAAACGAGAACTTGTGTGCATTGTTGCGTAAATGTTGGTTGCAGATTGCGAGTACGCAAGTTCCTCGACACTCTTCACCCAATTCTGCATCTCTTGTTCTTCTTCCCTTGAAATCCCTCTTTGGTGAAGTGGGTGGGCGTGAGATCTCGGGTTGGGGTGGAATGGCAATGTCGCAAGGGTTCGCAATCGAGCTATACTTGGATCCAGCGTTGGAGAATCAGGTTCTGAAGGCATGGAACGTCATGGCTCGGAGACAAATAAGCACTCAACTAATCGAAATAGAGTCTCGTCCTCACATCACACTCTTCTCTTCTCCGTTTCTAGAACCTTCCAAACTAGAATCCATCGTCAAAACCTTCGCCTCCAAACACGACCCTTTCCCTCTCTCTTTCTCTTCCATTGGCACTTTCTGCAACGACAACAACGTTCTCTTTCTCGCCCCCACCCCTTCCCTTTCACTCCTTCAGTTCCAGTCTCTGCTCTGCGACGCTATCAAGAAAGAAGGCGTTGAGGTTTCTGATGATTACGCCTTCAATTCTTGGATTCCCTATTGCTCCGTTGCCGACCAGGTTCCCAAAGCAAGGATGCCTGAAGCTTTCTCCGTCTTGCGAGACCTCAAATTGCCCGTTTCCGGTTACGCCATTGATATTGGACTCGTTGAGTTCTCTCCGGTTCGAGAACTCTTCTCCTTCGTTCTTGGCAACACCGTTGACTCATGAGGTTCTTTTTACAGTTTCTAGTGTTGATTTTTGTTATAGCGAAAATAGGTTTATATTTTCTTGCTTCTGAGAGTGCTTGTTGAAATTTGCTTATAATTACAATTTTGTGTTTTGCGTCTTTGGAAATTTTATGATTTCTTTTACTTCAATGAGAGTAAATAGACAAATATTTCACCAATGGTATATCCTCAGTTATTTTAGTTACGGATCTGTTTGGTCATTCGATCTTTAGGGAATTAATTTTATTTGACTGAAGTAGGGTAATTCTTGTGGCAATTCTGAAACTCGAATCGTGTTTCCGTGTGAGAATGGTTCTTTTAGGTCTTGCCAAAATTTGCATGTGTTCTTGAGGTAGATAATTAATGCGTGGATGCGGAGTCTTGAAACACACAAAGAGGTTGAGGAACGGCTCATATTATTGAACCAACGGTCTGCTTATATAACTGTAGAATAGGAATTGTTCTTATCAAGAAGATAGATAATAATAAGATTTTGAGAACGATCACTATAGTTGTAAAGGATTTTAACAAAGAAAAATTGGTGTGCAGCCTACAGTGCACTAACATATGTTCTGATCTAGAATTAAATAACCAAAATGAGTGCATATTTGATCCTTCAATGTAACTATTAGTCCATACTGGTCCCACGATCAGTATTCTCTTTTTAGATAGCTTTTCACTATGGAAAACAGGTCTTCACCATTAATTCGACCTTTTTGCTCTCCAACATTATCTACTGATATAAGCTAATTCTGGTTAATTTGACAGTTGTTAATTTGACTGCAAACAGATGCTGTCTAAGTCCTTCGAAAATAATCAAAATATTATCCATGGTTTAGACATGAATACATAGAAAGGGTGTTGTGCATGCCTTATGAATTACAATTGAACCATAATTTGCTTCAGTTTGGAGTCTAACAAAGGGAGCCCTTTGTATGCATCATGTTTTTTTTATGAATACATAGATAACATTGCAGTGGAGCTGTGGAGGAACTACCACAGGGATTTCATGAGTTTCTTATCATCTGTTAATGGCATAGTAGAGCTCTATAGAGAGGTTTGATACAATCAAAGCATAGTAAACAGAGAGAAGAAAAAGGAATCAATCTGATTCATTTACAGTCAACCATGACAATGTACAGTATACAAGTATTTATATGATGAACTATGAATACATGTTATCATCCACTTGAATGTACACTACAAGAATCCTACAAGTTTACAACGAACTATCAGACTTGGTAGTTAGTTAACTAACTGAATTAGCTGAAACCCTTGGCTCTTTCTAGTGTTCATTACTATAGTTAGGGACCTATTTGGTAATTCAATCTTTAGTGACTTAATATGACTAATATTTTGTCTTAGAGGAATAAATTGAGGGTTCAGTCCAAAAGGATGTTTTGGGAGAAGATTATTTGATTCTCTCAAGAATTATTTTGCGATAACATCACTAGGCTAGCTTGATGACATTAGTGTACACTACATCATAATTTGAGAGAAGTGTTTGTCAGCTAAATAATAACCTATTAATGATATGAGTATGGTTTGGGGTTCAGGTAAATTTCTCTAATTCAGGGCTTTTTGTCTGTAAATTTAGATTAATGTGTTTTTCGTTTTGTGTTTATCAACCTCTTGGAGGAAACATAGACACATGCTGCTAGTGATACGGTACGTTGAGAAGAATATAACTAGAATTTGTGGGATAATATAACCATGACTCAGGAATCTGTTAGCATGGTCAATATATCTTTTATTTCTGATTCTGTTTCTTCTAATCTCTATAACCTATCTAAACGGTTGTGAAATTCCTGGAAAAGCTTTCAACGGTTAGTGTTTTTCTTTCTTTGGTGATTTTAGATACAATAACCGACAAATTCAAAGTTTGCGTCTATTTGCAACATCTGTAAATAGTGTGTTTATTTGGATTCTTGACTCATGCATTAGCTGACAGCACTGGTTATCTAATTCCAATAATAGTAGTCAATAGTGGCCACTACTGCGGTGGAGCAGCACGGCGCCACTATGGAGACCCAATAGTGTCGCGGTTCAGAGGAGCAGCTGTCATGCTATGGATCTTGGCAAAAAATGCGGAAATTGCAGCTGTCACGGCTGCTATTCTATTCTTGCTGAAATTTTGAACTTGCTCTCTGTTTTTTAACTTTGGGCAACTTTTAAGGGGGGCAATCTTAGGATTTCACCCCCCTCTTAACTGATATCTTTCCCCTCCTTCTTTTGTGAACCCTAAGCTTCTCATTTCATCTCTCAACTCTCCTCTCATTTCATCTCTGTTCTCTAGGATTTAACTGCTTCTGGTGGCCTTCATCTCCACCGAGACTTCTGACACGATAAAGACCTTCTCTGTTCATCTTCTTCATCTCCAGTAAAGCCCCCAATGTGACCCAGATTGTTTTCAGTCAATTTCATCTTAGGTCATCTTTATTTTCAGTGAAGCTTCCGACATCACCCAAACATTTTCCAATCATCTTCTACATCTCCTGCGAACCTTTTGGCAAACTTGCACATTTTCCGTTGATTGAACATTTTTTTTTCTATTTTCCTTCTTGATTTTGATTCTTCTACTTTGTTATGTTTCAAATTTCAAAGCTTAAAGTAGAAGTAATGACTGCTCCTGCACCCTTCACTGTTTGTTATCTATTTCTTTCTCTGACTTGAATTTTTTTTTTTTTTGTTCCAAATTTGTGTATTAATTTTATATTTTTCAGCATGTATATGGGTATATTAAAACTTAAGAATAGCAGTCATCCCACTACCACTATTCCCGCTATAACATTTTTTAGGTTGGCTACTCTGCGTCATTGTCCGGGAATGACTATTATGATTCCAATTTACAAAACTGTCCAACGGTCTCTTTGCTTATTGATCTGTTCTTTAATTTATGATAATTGTTTCAATTGGTCTTTTTTTTTTTTTTTTCCAACACAGTAGGGTTTCTTTGTTATAATTTTCATTCTCTCTTCAATTAATTGAGCAGATTCTTCTCCTTTTGCAGTGTGAAATAATGATTCACTTTTACTGGTGGTCTGTATTAACTCTGTTACTGAGTTGCTTATATCTTTGTTGACATTTAATCGCAAAAGACTTTCAAATTATCTGGATCTTTCTGTTGTTTTATTAACCTTTTGGGTTATGGAACCACCTTTTTTAAAATCAATTAATTATTATTGAAAGCGGGGGGATTTGTGACCCCATATTTCAATAAATATCCTTCCTCTATAAGTAATGGACAGTGATACTGATTTACATTGCTTCCTTTGTCAATGTAGTGTAGCTTGAGCTTATTTACGGTGAAATGCATGCTCATCCTTTATGATAAATTCTGATTTTACAATATCAAAAGTTTGTATTATAGCTTCAGTTTGGTGATTGATTACTTCACTCTCTCATATATATAGTAATATGTGAAATTATTTTTTACTTGGGCAGAGTTGAGATACAAGCTCAGAAGTGCTTGCTGGTGTGTTGGACCTCTACAAATTCATATGACTGACAACATAATGTTCAGTTTTTCTTGTTGACTATCTGGAATAGAATGAAATAGGTCAGCATCCAATGCTGATTCTGAATGATTGAGTCCATAAATTTTGGTGTACTTTGACTCTTTTTTTACCTTAGATTTTCTCCGGGCAGTTGTCTCTGGTCCACTATATTACCCTGTATGTTTGGGGGTATATGAAATCTATTAGTAGCACTGGTGCTTGTATTTTCATATGGGAATCGCTGAGTAATGCTACATACACTAGTGCATAACTGTTAATATGACTGCATGAGTAATTGTTTCTACCGGAGATTCTCTCTTTTAACTTTTTTACTTTTTCCATTTATTAAACTCTGACGCAGACACATTAACAGTTGTGACTTTGACGGGTTGTGCTGAGACAGCTTGTGTAAATAGCTTTTCTCATAAATCCCCATCATTTCTGGGATGGGGGGTAGTTTGAAACTGTGCCTTAAGTGTTGTAACTCCCTGTTTTGTATGTTTACAATCGCAGTTCTTTAGTAGATGGCAGTCTTTTTATTTCTTGCCCGTCTTTGTAGTCTGGCAGTTCCCCAGCCATTTGCATTGGTCTTTAAGTTGCTCCACTACATGCCTTGCGTCCTTTTACCTTTCTTTATTTTGGTTTTTTCCTTTTACACCGCCCTTTTTTTAACCACACCACGTTACAAAAACCGGAAGGGCAACTACCTCTTATTCTTGTTACATGTTATAGCCGTATACTTTTCTCTTTGTAGATGTATGAGATACATTGTAGAATTTCCCATTCTTTTCCATTATTAAGCTTGCAAATTTGTAGAAACCTTAGAGGTTGTACTCCAAAATTCTCGATATTTTACCTGTTTTTGAATGTGATACTACATACACCAAAATGTTACTACTTTCCTCGACTACATTTGCAATTTGCAGTGGCTTGCTAGAGTTATCCGAGTGAAGCGACTTTATTTGCAATTATTGAGCCTTTTTTTTTTATTTGTCGATGCAACAATTGAGCAGAAAGTGAAGAAACATAGTCGAACTTTGAATGGGGTATGCGCTTCTACTGTTAGTTTGAGCCTACAATTGGAATTGGACATCCAATTTTGTTTTGGTTTAAGTAAAAATGTAAAAAATGACAAAAAAAAAATTATATTAATGTGAAAATTGTCTAAACAAATTTTACAAAAATTACTATCTTTCACGTGAGAGAGAGAGAGAGAGAGTAGGGAGATGAGTGGAGGTGGAGGGAGTAAAAGGAGTTAAAAATGGAGAAAGGGGATGTTGGGAGGGGGAGGAGAGGTTGGGTCCGGAGGGAAGGAGAATAAAGGGTGGGGGAGAAAAAATTTGGTTAAGCAAGTTTTACGTAATTTTTTCATTTTCATTTAAACAAAATTAGTGTTATTGTCACAGGGAAGACACTCCGGATTCAACTATTTTAGCTAATTTTAGAGGGTATGATTAACTCATTCTACCTAGTTAATATGCAACTAGGATAGAGATCCATACCAAAAGGTCTACAGAAACCCGGAAACAAGTAAAGGATGCTTAAAAGGAGATTTACGACAATACACAAGTAAACAGACGTGATTCACAGGCCAGTACCATTGGTTTTACCTTTTGAAAATTTTAAATTGATGTTCACACGAATTGAAATTTGACCAAAAAAACAGATTTTGACACATTCAAATAGAACATGGATTTGATTCTGAATGGCAGTACTTCATATGTGTGATTACAGTTTGTACCTCCATAAATGTTAAGTGGGGCTTTCTAGAAAGTGCTATTATTCAAATGCAGTCTCACCAACGTTTATGCATTTGTTTAAGTAACATTAGTCGTCAGGTATTCACATAGGCAGCAAATGTCCATTCATACGACAACTAGATTTCATATAAGAGGTCAGGCACACAGTTAAGCACTTCTGAAATCGTGGCATTTTGTTCAAGGAAATGTCATTTTAACTTCATACATGTATATGAGGCTATAAGAAACCGAATATGAATTTCGGTCCTCTATGAGCAAGACTTCATCATAAGAGCATGCATTTCACATTTTCTCAGTATGTAGCTTAAGCTACATATATTGACAAAGTAATGTAAATCAAAATCACCATCTAACTATTTCTAATAGCATAAGGACATTAATAGATATATCTGGAGTTACTAAACAGAATGAAGGTGGCCTGCTTTCAAATCGTTGTGTCAAAAAACACCATAACAATTTTGACATGGTAAAAGAAATGCATATTTCAAACTTTCACATCGTTGTTTTCATAAATTAAGCAGTGTAAACACTTTTCACATTAAAGAACTTTACAGGAGAGCCAATACCATTTTAGATGGCTATGAAGTGTAGTAGAAGTAAAAACAGAAACAAAAGCAACATGGTCATGCCAATAGATTCTTCTGTCATAATAAGTTTCTTCTATAACCCATTTGCAAATCAAACCTCCATTACCATATTTTATAACATCTGGCAAATACAAAACAAAAACAACATGCATAGGCACTAATCCCACTTCGCAGACAATAACCCTCGCATGATAGAAGTGTGAAATGCCAAACAAGAGCTCAACCACATCATTAATATCTGAGCTAGGAGGACAACATAGTGACGTGATTTGATCAAACACACTCTACCATAGCGCAGATGTTAATATAAGGAGATGCTTAAACTAAAGAAGCCAACTTCAATGACAACTAAGGATTTCACAGTCAAAATAACGAAAGGCATCATATGAATTTAGTAAGCTATTACTGAGAAAGAAAACATCCATTACATTCACAGTAGAAAAGTACAATAAATGCATCCATTCCCAATAAAAATTTAGTATTTTTCAATACTCAAAATTAGCTAACATTCTTATATAGTAGAAAATCATTCTCCACATACCAAGGAAGACCAACATGAGATGAAACTATATCCGGTAGAACTATTTTATAACTAAAGAAGTTGAGTCACTCCTAGAAGTATAAAAGGCAAATCTCCACAACATCGCCTTTATACTCCAACCAAATTTCCAAAACTAATCATAAATTAAAATTAATACTCCATACATTGAGACCATAAATTATTCTCCAGCATAAGAATGAGGAATAATAGTTTCTTTCTAATTTTTCACCTTGTAACAAATAATGCATATTTGCAAACAAAGCAAAAAAAAAAAAATCATACTAAGGTAAACTAACAAACTTTCTTGCTACACAGATAAATCTGGTGTAAAGTAACACAACACCATCAATCACTACAGCAAGAGAATTTCGGGAGGAACCAAAAGTCTCCCAAACCATTCTCAAAGCAAAAACAATCAAAACACAATTATCTAACTTAATTATTAAGAAAGTAAAAAAAAAAAGAACATCATGAGTCAACAGTGTTGCCAAGAACGAAGGAGAAGAGTTCTCGAACCGGAGAGAACTCAACGAGTCCAATATCAATGGCGTAACCGGAAACGGGCAATTTGAGGTCTCGCAAGACGGAGAAAGCTTCAGGCATCCTTGCTTTGGGAACCTGGTCGGCAACGGAGCAATAGGGAATCCAAGAATTGAAGGCGTAATCATCAGAAACCTCAACGCCTTCTTTCTTGATAGCGTCGCAGAGCAGAGACTGGAACTGAAGGAGTGAAAGGGAAGGGGTGGGGGCGAGAAAGAGAACGTTGTTGTCGTTGCAGAAAGTGCCAATGGAAGAGAAAGAGAGAGGGAAAGGGTCGTGTTTGGAGGCGAAGGTTTTGACGATGGATTCTAGTTTGGAAGGTTCTAGAAACGGAGAAGAGAAGAGTGTGATGTGAGGACGAGACTCTATTTCGATTAGTTGAGTGCTTATTTGTCTCCGAGCCATGACGTTCCATGCCTTCAGAACCTGATTCTCCAACGCTGGATCCAAGTATAGCTCGATTGCGAACCCTTGCGACATTGCCATTCCACCCCAACCCGAGATCTCACGCCCACCCACTTCACCAAAGAGGGGTTCGAAGGTGGGGTTTGAGGAAAGGTTCGAAATTGGAACTGGGAAAGTGAAGTTGAGGTGGAAGAGAAGACAAAAGAAGCAGCAGCAGCAGCAGCTTCGGTTTTCTTTCAACTTCGATTCCTAATTCTGTATCGGTCTTAATACTGAAATTGAGTGAGTGAAAAAACCCTCTAATTAGTCACTGAAATATTTGAGTGATGAAATATTACGTGTTACTACTCAAATTGAGTGCGTAAAAAAACTATCAGAGTGATGAAATATTACATTAAGTAATATAATAATTACTTTTGTCTCTCATTTTACTATTTTCAGACAGTAAGATTCCTTTTTATTTTTTTCTACGTCTTTTTTTATGATTTTTTTTTTCTCTTGACAATGGTGAAATGATAATTCCTGTAAGAGTCCTTTATCTTGAGGTGTTTAGATGAAACATCTAATTTAAGTCTTAAATACGTGAGTGAAAGAATCAATTATAATTATTCAGTAAAAGAGTATTAAACTTGTCACCTTAAAAAAAATTTATGTTTCATATGTACTCATTTCTGAAATTTTTATATTTTTTTATAATTATTTTTTTACAATTTAGAAACTCTTTAAGTTTAATAAGAAAATAATTATTCTAATTTTCTTTAAACATATTAAAAATATTGATTTCATCGTTTTCACATTTGACAATCTATTACAGTGGTAAGAGAAAGAAAGAAAATGTCATTAAAAAAAGTAAAAAAAAAAAAGACAATAAAAATTTTAAAACGATGTGTCAAGAATAGATTAACATGTGTTATATATTATCATATAATGTGACAAATTATTAATTTTGTTATAACGTTATATAATATAACGTGTCAAGAATTTATTATTTAATATTACAAATAAAAATATGCAAATAAAATAATTTCGTGTTATGTTGCCTATCACCTACACAATAGTAATCACAATATAATTACAACGAATATAATCAACATTATATTACAACCACACTCACAATTTAAATTGAAATCGTATGTGAATCACCAACTCAACATAAAGAAAAAAAATTGCATTGTGTCCAATTTTCATAAATATAAAAAAAATATGGTATAAATATTCATAAAAGAGATACAAATAATATAATTCGAATTTACTTTTTCTATTATTAACTAAGGACAATAGTATATCATTATATACTAAACAAAAAGAATGATTATGGTTAATGATTAAGTTTTTTTTTTTTCTAACTAGATATAAATGTATTTATCTATATGTATATCATGTTATTTGAGCCTCCCTTTTGAGAACAGCAAGCAATAACTCACTCCACATATCAATAGGACCAGGCAAACACCAATGAGTACAATCATTAAACCCTCTCATCCACTTGTTGCCCCAATGCTCTCCAGGGTGCCCATCTGGTCTCATCAACATGGCTTTTGTTACATCCACTACCTCAAATCTTTGACCTTCCTTCGTGCCTTCATTTCTTGCTCTCTCAAACTCTTCCATTTGAACATTCCTCAATTGCCATTCAAACCTTCCAAAATCAACCTCCCCTTCACTCATAGGACCTGTCCTATTGCAATAACCACCATTATTCCAAACTCCATTCTCAAAGTGAGCTGGTGCAAATGTCCTCAACATTATTAGCATTTTTCTACACTCCTTGCAACTATTGATGTATCTAAATGCAGTTCTAAATGCCAATCTAAAAGGGTAATCTATGTTGTAATCTGTGATATTTGGTTCCTTGCAATACACACACCCTACTAGCTTTTCAGCTTCATGAAGATACATCAATCTAAAAAACCAATGCCCATCTGAGATTATTGCATAGTCCAAGTTTGGAAGCTCTTTAGCCCAATCTTCATCAACCTTGTCTACGTGCATGTCAAAAATGCTTGACCCTGTACCGTTTACCATTCTTTCTTCACCTACTATGAGGAATCTGCTCCATAACATCATTAGAGTGAAGTCATGCTTAGGAAAATACCATTTGACGAACCTCTCTTCTGAGTCCTTATATATATTCTTTGGAATTTCTTCCTGCAAAATTTTAAAGAAAATTGTGACACCCTTTTGCAAGCTAATGTTGCTTGATTAAGTGAAAATCTTGAGCATCAAATGCAGTTAAGGATTTAATCATGCTAATGACTAGTTAATGATTACGCTTAAACTTAATTTCATGTGCACTCACTATCATTTAGAAGCTTTAATTAACGTATTAATCAAAAGCATTCATTATATTATATAGAGTTCATCGCCATCGACGAAATTATTGTTCTATATGAAATGAATATTCATCTATTCTCACTAAGTACAAGGGAAAATAATTTGAGATTAGTGAAAAATTATCAATTATATACCAAACAAATCGTGCGGAAAATAAAAATGAAAACAGCGATATAAAATGAAAAGATGAATTGAATGGTGATAAGAAAGTGATTGAGTCCTGTATCAAGAACTCATATTAAGTGTTTTAAATTAAACTCTACTCCTCTCACTTAAAATATATTAATAATATGAGTAATTTTTAATTTAAATAAAACTCTTAGAGAGAGAAAAAAAAAAGGGGGGGGTCTCATAATTCTCTACATAATTAATAGCTAATGTCAAATGTGTATTATTAATTTTATTAGTTTAAAAGATAAAATAATTTTTTAAAAATTAAAATAGATGCATTTAACATTTAATTGCACTTTCAAAATTGCTAAAATTAACTTGGTTTTAAAATTAGTTATCTTTGACATTGAAAGTTGTTGAAAAAGATAAAGTGTCATTGAAAAACATATTCATAATTACCATTATTGTTAAAAAGTTAATTTATATTGTAAAAAAAAAGTATAATTCATATTCGTCTCTTAAGAAAGAGAAATGTATGTTTTAAAACAAGAGGGAAGAGGGAGTATAATTTAAATATATTTTAAGAGAGTAAAATATAATTTTCTATTATTTTAAGAATTAAAAACATTGAGTATTTATTTTAATTTAATTAAGATAATTTAAATGCATGAATTAAGTTGAAAAACTGTTAAATAATTCAGAAAATAAAAAGATTGATTGAGGATTAGAATTATTCTAATATTTATTGACGATTGTTCTCACACTAAATAATTGGAGTCAACTGAACACAATCAACGGCAATTTTGACAACTAATCAACCCATTAAAACTTGTGTCCAAGTAATTCCCACCAAAAAAGAAGAATAACTGACAACAATTAAATTTGGAAACAGCCACTGAATCGATCAAATATCCCTGCCTCAGTCTTAGCTGTGTTCTTCACCCACATATCACGCAAAGGACATTAGAGGATAGTGCTCTTAAATGCTCTTTTATTATTATTTTTTCCAATACCCAACACATCATGCATCCAAGGAAAAGAGAACACCAATTTCAAGTTTGAATCTTGAAGTAGTCACTTTCGAAAAGGGTTAATTTTATGTAACTATTGTCACCCAAATGTAAAACATTAATCTCCCAATTATATATATTACAGTCAAAGACTTAAAATAATGTGACATGGTTTCTGTGGTATCACATTCAAGCCTTTTTTCTAGTTTTTACTTACTCCTTTTTTTTTCATTCTTACATTTTGTTTTAAAAAAATAGATACAATTTTATATATAATTTTAGTATTATTTTTATTAAAATTAAAATTGAAGTTAAAAATTATATTATATCACTAAATTCAATGCTGAAATAACATTAAATACTACCACATTCAATAAAAATCTATTATTTATTATCTTTTTATCATATATTTTTAAGCAAGACTTCAAAAGGATTAAAATATTTTCAATATTTCACTAAAATGTTGTTTATTTGTTTACGAGAATCCAATTCCCCGTTGTATGCAAGCAAAGAATTTTGAGTTCCAGCAACGTGTAAAAGAAGGATGGACCATAATTAGTATTAGACACTGACCTGAGACAAGAGGCAGAGAAGGGAATCCATGTGGTTCCTGGCCACAGAATCGCCAATGAAAGCCATTTTCTTGCCACTAACGATGTTGAGGAAGGTTGTGGGGTCAAACCTTGGAAGCTCACATTGCTGAGGCTTCCATTTCCAATGGAGAAAATCAGTGTCCTTTCTTCCTTGCATGAAACAATTTTTGCTATCAGGGATTGTGGTGCAGCTTGAATTTGTGTAATAAGATGATGACCCTCCCAAAGCTGGAATCCAATGACCCTTAAACAGGTCACATGTTTTCTGTTCTGCCCAAAAACAATTAAAATTATACAAATTAGATCATGATCATGGGTATATGTGATTTTGATTATGATAATTTTGGAACATACCCTTTTGTGATTTGGATGATGTCACCTTTGTTGTGATGCCATGTTGTTCTTGTTCTTGTTCTTGTTGTTGCATTTGAGAGCGATTTTCAAAAATGTCATGGCCTCGATGGGGTGTGAGGGTCAAAGGGTTAGGAGCATAGAGGAAAATCAAACTGAAAATGGTGGCCACCAACAAAGGGGTCAAAACAAAAGGCATCCCCTTCCCTAAGTTGTTGAGACATCTCACCCTTTTGCCACAACTATGATTATGATGCTTCTCCTGAAAAATGGTACTTGATGTCTTCATGATGGTCGAGAGAGAGAGAAAGAGAGAGAGGTGTGGGGTTTAATGTGAGAAAACCATTTCATTCCAAATCATAATTGGAGCAAATTTTGGTTTATAATGTTTATGTGTCTAATTTGTAACTTCCATTTCAATGCTTTGGGGATACGCTAAAAGGAAAGAAATATTCGGACAACAATTGTTTAATATTATTTTTTCAAAAATAATTAATGGTGTCAATTGTTATGGTAACAAATTAATTTTACTAAAATTAAAAAATCATTTTTATATATGTTAAAATAATAAATAATTTGAGATAAAATAAAATATGCTTTGGTAACTTTTAATGAGATAAAGAATATTTTGTTGATTAGGAAAAAAGTTAAGATAAAAAATAGGAAAAATATTTCTTTTTTAATTATATTATCATTTTTTATTACTTATTTTTATCAAATATTTTTACAAAAATTATTAATTAAAAATAAAAATAATTTATTCTTAAGATCTTATTTAACTTAACTTGTGATCTTGAATTTGGGTTTTAATGAATACTTTAAAAAAATATTTTATTGTTGATAATGATTTTACTTCTATTCAAATAAAATTATCTTTAGTGAAAGATATTTATAGTGAAAAAATAATCCAATAAAATGTATATACCAATACAAGGATTGCATTAAATACTGAATAAATATTATTTTTATTCTTTCGTGATTTTTTGAGATTTGCTATATAATATAATAAGGATATAATACCTTATGCGGGTAATAAATCATTTATTAATCATTAATGAGTCTTGTAACATTTTTATTATTATTTTATAAAGTAAATATTATATAAAAATATAGGTATTTACTATCTTAAAAAACATAGATATTCAATATCTTGTTCTATTAATAATTAAAAATATAAAAAAAAGTAAGAAATTTAAGAATATATTCAATTCACTAAATAAGCAAGTAGATGAGAATGAATAAAAGACAATAGAGATGGTGCAAAAGTAAAGCCTATTGTTCCGTTGGTATATGAGAAATTGTGTGTGAAAGATCACAATTCTTGTGAAAGAAGTGTAAAAGAATGCAACACTTTTGATGACAAGTTACAAGCAACACATGTGAGTGTGGACCACTCTCATATATTCATAGCCTTATTTCACGGCGCAATCTCTACACTTTTGGATGATAAATGAATTTGGTAATTGAAAGGCTTAAGACTAATTCTAATTAACTCCACTTTCTCACAAATCAATTAGTTGGTATTTTTCTCCACAAAATACACATTAAAACATAAAATTCTAAAATATTACCATTAATTTTTAAGCCAAATTTTAAGTATTTAAAATATTAATTTTTATAGAACAAAAAATTTAATCTTTTAATAACAAAAAATTATTTTCTAAATTTATATTTTTAAAATAATATTTTTTATTTTTATAAAAAAATTTAAAAAATTAACATTTTTGTCCTTTGACTTTAAAATAAATTTGGAGTTGATCCTCTAACTTTTATAAAAATTTAAATAAGTCATTTTTATTAAAAATTTTAATTAATTAAAAAAATTTGTTATTTTGTACTGTACTGTACTATTTCTTCATCGTTTTTTTTCAAATTTTTAACTTTTACCACATCTTTTCTTGGCTACTAATATTAAGTACTCATTTCTAAATCTCAAGTCATAAATAACTTAACAAACTCAAAAATATTTATATTTTTATTTTTATTTTATTAATTTTTTATTTTATCATGGTCTTTGAAATCTTTATTAATAAAAATATTATGTTATAAAAACTCAAAATTGAAAAATGAGGTTCTTTCGATTTTTACATTTATATTTATTAAATACAGAAAATAAATATTTAAAAAATTTATTTATTTATTGTTTGTGATTTAAGAGTAGATAATTAGTATTGCTAGCAAGAAAATAAAGTTTTAAATATAAAAAAAACAAAAATAAAAATGAGAGAGAAAGTATCAAAGATAAAATAAGGAATTCTATAAAAGACACAATAAACATATGACACAAAACAATAAAATTTTAAACAAAGTTATAATTTTTAACTGAAAATAATTTATTTAAAATTTTTATAAAAGATAAAGGATTAAAAAATAGTTAAAAAATAAAATTAAAATTCATAAATTAAAAGATAAAAACATTAATTTTATCAAGAATTTAATTTTAATTATTTTAAATTATTTTTAAAAATAATAAAATATGTTACTAAATTAAAAAAATTATTTTAATTTAATATGTAATTTTAAACTGAGTCTTTGTTAATATAAGTGTGTTAAATATTTATATAAAAAATTATTTCTTATATATTTTATCTAACTTGAACAAAAAAAATTAATAAAAAATATATTAATTGTTTAAATTATATTTTTTATTTTATGAAATAAATATTAAATAAAAAAATTATTGTTTTAGAATTTAAAAAATAATATCTTTATTTAATAATTAAATGAATTTACAAAAGTAAAAAGTAGAAAAAATAAAAATTATTTTAAGAAAGCTGTAAAAACTGGAATTGTTGCAGGGTGGTGACAACATGAGTAACTGTTTGCAGCCTTTTGTTCACTTTTTTCAATATAAAATGGGTATAAGCTTAGTGCATAGCCGACATTCTTCAGATTTTAAATTTCTTTGTTTTGCTTTACCAATTCCCACTTTCCACTTTGCACTTTGTGGATGGTGACATCAAACATGTACTCAGAAGTCAAAAGCTCCCTCACTTACAATGGTACGAGGCAGCATTTAATGTGAACCTTATCTTATAATAATAATAATAATAATAATACCCATTCAATTATAAATGAACTAGATGTTCAATTGACAGGTTCAATTCTGCACTTGCTACATGTTGAACAGTCAATAATTTCACATTGCATATTTAATGCAACATATGAGAATTATTTTATGGAAGAAAATAAAAACTTAAAAAATATTACTAAGACACTTTAATATAACTTTTAATGTGTTTTCTATTGTGAAATTTAACAAAATTATAATTTATATTTTCAAATTCTGAAAAAGTATTAATCATTTAACTATAATTATTTATTTACTGCTATGCATCTAATTAATGCAATTATTTTTTTATTTTAAATATTTTTATACTACATATTGCTTTTAAAAACAAAACATGTTAATTTTTGTGCATATTGCAAGTCGTAATTTAAATAGTATAAAACTTACGATTAATTATAAATATATTAAGATTATATGAGTAAAATCTATTATCCAAAAGGGCCAACCAAAAATTATTTAAAATTGTATTTATACTAAGTTTTTACATAATGTCCTATTAATCTAAAGTATAACATTAATTAATTAGCAAAAGTTTTCTTTATTATTATATGCATATAAATATAATGTCTGCAAAATATTTTTTTGCGGAAGAAATAAATATAACTCGTGTATAACTAAGACATTCCTGAAAATTGTAAATGAGAAATCTCCACGAATTTTAGACCAAATAATGCTTTAGAATGGCAGGTCTTTTCTCTTTTTATTTTTTTTTTCTTTTTTTTTTTTTTTTTTTGGATAATTAGAATGGTACCTTGATGTTATGCAATTTAAACAGTGGAGGAGAAATGGGATCAAAATAATTTTGGTGGCCAATAGCAACATAGTGTATAGACTTTTCCTTCTTTGACCGTCCGTCCTCCCTCCATGTTTAACCCATTTGTGATAGATACCTTGTATATAAAAGAAAATACAGTGGAGTAATTCTACTGCTCAATTTTATATGATACACTATCAACTTGACTCCTTTTAAGCATGCACAAGGAAATTTATCTATGATAAAAAAACAAATAAATATTTTTGCTATTTGTATACAACTTATATTATCTAAAACGAATAAATCAAAACTATTGATTGTGTAAAAACTCGTTAGACCATTCTTTGTTTTAACCTGAACTCTTAAATTTACAAGGATATTTGGGTTTAGACACAGTTTGAACATCCCTCAACATGAAACCAACAAAACTAAACTTGCTTGATAGGCATTTCTCATTGGTTAGAGCCAAGCAATTGCTTGATAGACATGAGTTCTTTTCAACACTGTTATCCTGCGTGGGTCATTATGGTGATTATGTCTTGCAGCTACCATTCGTTCGTTCCTGTCCTCATTTTAATACATGTTGCTCTGCCAAGGATGTTGCTAAATCCCTTTGAGTAATTAACATTCAAAAATCCTCGCATGATGACCTATAGCTTCAAATATTGAAGGGTTTTTTTTATTATCTAAACGATTATTGGTCCACGCAATTCACTTAAAACATGTAAATATTGTTTTGCATCTTTATTCCAGTATAAACCAGACCACTTCATTGTAAAACTGTTAAATTGGAGGTACAACATTTTCATATTATTCATGCTGCGGGAATGTGTATGCTGATCACAGTTAGGATCTCGTTGGTCTCAATCAAAGTTTCTTACAACACTGCTCAGCTGGTGTCAGTTCTAAAATTGAGATGTTCTTGTAGTTTTTTTTCGATTGTTTTGAGTAATTACTGGTGTATTCCCCTACCAATACGACAAAGGCAGAGAAGACACTGGTTAGGGGTTATTTGTAGCCAAGAACAAGTCTTCTACCACTTAAACAAGAGAAAGGAGCAAAGGACTTAATTGCAGTGTCACATCAATATTATGTCCTTAATATAAAAGAAGAGCTAAAAAAAATATTAAAAACTCTAACAACCTACAATATCAGGTCATATTGCATTGTGTATAGTGCACAAGTTTTAAGACTTGTGCACCCTATAATTCACCCAAACACTTGAATGCCATTTCTCTGATCCTAGGCGGCATTATCACACCTGCTGTTTCAGTTAGATATCTACACAGGAAAAACTTATCTGCAAGGGACAATCTGGGAGCAGATTTCATACAAAACAAGTGCATCAGAAGCTCTGATCACTTTGTCAAGTCAGAAATGAAGTGGTGCATCAGCAGCAAGGGTAGCATCTCTGCTCGTTGTCCATGGCTCAACACTCAAATAATATCCCCATTTTTTCTGACATTTTCCACAAAAGCTGCGCCAGAACACTTACAGCTTCAATACATTACATGTTTTAAACTTCCATTCAATTAAATACGGAAAATACATGGCAGAGAAACATACAAGCAGTAAAACCAAATTAACCAAATACTGACAGAAATTTGAAGCATATAGAGGCCTTTTTTTAACAATATAGATGTCAGAGTAAGAAACTTCCAACTAAAAGATGATTGTCCATTAAAAATGTCCGGTACATAGCTCAAAAACTCGTGGAGCAACAGAACTAGTTGCGCTCACACAGAACATGAAATAACACAAGTACCGTAAACTAAAATTTCATCTCAAAAAAAGACGAGCAATCTAAATATGTTTGAAATCAAGGTGTTGAAAATACATTAAAAGGCTTGTGAGGGTAGGACTTACAAGTGGCTCACCTCCTAAATATTCACTTTGAAGAGCCATGATCCTACTGCCATGAGGGTTGCTTGTAACTGAATCTATCAGCTCCATCCCAACCACCATCAGGTTCCTTTCTTTTTAATGCACCTGCCATCTGAAACATCTTCAAATGATCCTCCATTGATGCTTGTGAATTGGGGACAGACATTTGCCTCAATCCTGATGGCAATCTATCATCTCTCCGCTCTGTATCTGTACCACCAGGGCCAGAATTAAGATCCAGACTTTGGCTTCCCCATTTTCTACTGTCAGGTATCACATTACTTGTGCCACCTGGAAGACTCATAACATAGGGACGGGGAAATGAGGATGATACAACCCCACCAGGCCCAACTGGCTGTGAGGGCATGGTAGGAAAGCATAGTCCGCCCACAGTTGAGGAATCCATAAATGCTGTTGAACAACCAGAAAAGGAGTTTGAGGATAATGGAAAATTGGTTTCAAATGGAAATCCTGGATACGGAAAGGGTGTTGTGGGTGGATAAGCAACAGCTGGAGAGGATGAAAGCACCGGACCCCTGTAGATCTCAGGACCAAAAGGAGTGCTCCCCGTGGGACCCATTATCCTTTGTGCCCCAGCACCAGATACATAACTCTGCTCCCCTCTACCAGACAGAAGTGGCGGGACAGTAATCGCAGAATAAGAATTGCCTGGAGGAAACCACGCAGAATAATTCCCAAATTCTGTATTATTTGTTCTTGTGCCATGAACAGCAGTTGGAAATGGCACAGAACTTTTCATGTGCTGACTATGTGATGGGACTTCGCTGACAACTTCATCAAGGCCTGGCCCATTATTTAAATCAAAGTCTCTTGAGACACTTCCCCCGTTAGATAACCCACTGGACAACGAAGGCTTACTTGGTAAAGAAGGAACATCCAGTTTGCTCACGCCGAATGTGCCACCTTCAGGAGTCTCATCAACTCTGTTCAAATCAAGATCAAGTCCCACAGTGTTGCGATCATGAGGTCCAGATTCCAAAGAACCACGGGAAGCAGCATCCTCAAAACTTCTTTCATCTGGCACATTTAAATCAAAATCTAAAGGAGGCCGACCTTGTTTGATAAAAGTGGCATCAACAGAAGGAACATCATTAGTATTTGATGGTGTCTCTGCATTTTTCCTAGGTTCAGCTGGCCGGAATGCACTTGTAGCAGCAGACCCTTTCCATCCAAGTTCTCCCTTACTCCGTAATGGGTTCTCTGGTGGAACAACCGGTCCTTTGGCAGCAGACGCCACTGTAATTGAAGCATGGAAGCCTCCAGAGATGGACGAAATGGGAAAAGGCAAGGGGCAAGGAACATGAATGGCAGATGATGTGATAGGTTCTTCCTGTCTAGCAATCTCCCCTTGGCTAACATCATCAACAGGAAAGCCTTCGTTTAAATCGAAGTCCAGCTTTACTGCAGTATCAGACCCAGCAGCAGTAAGAGATGGATTAACACTGCATGCTTGCCACTCTCCAGCAACCTCAGATTGATTTCCATCTACCTTACGCTCAGATGATTTGTGCACTTCATTCTCTTTCCCAGCAATTGTCGGTAAATCTGGGAGAACTGATGAGCCAGAACAGTGGCCAATAGCCTCTTTTCTATCCAAATTATCTTCAGCACATTCAGTACCATCATTGGAAACTGATGAAACCAGTTCATTTCGCTTTTCATCAGGCACAATTTCAACTGATTTCATGTCGTTGGCATTTTCATCCCTTGATACCATTAAAGCATTACCAGAAGCAGGTGACTCCTTTTTAAAATCAACAGACTCGCAGTTTTCTGCAACTGAAGGGGGCTTCTGCACTAGTATACCAGTACCTGTCATTTTCTCTGCACCAATCTGGTTTTCATTATCTACTCCTGAAGATAATTCAGGTGGTTTTTCATCTACTTCATTTTCAATCTCAACACTAGCAACAGCTTTTGAAGCCAACATTTTCTCATTCTCTATGATTCCTTCATCCATGTGATCCACCTTCTGGTCCTCATCAAAAGAGGATGTCCTTGACTTTAGTTTAGAGTCTGAACCTCCTGGGTCTGCGTCAGTCTCCTTTTTAGCTGGCAAAATAGTTTCAGAAGCATCCTCTTTGGTTTCGGTCCGCAAACATGGACCCTCAGCATTTTGTATCAAATCTGTACCAGAGATATTTATTTGAGTTCTACCATCACCGGTTTTCTCTATACAACTGGAAGAAATAGCTTCACCATCTCCTGAAAAATCATGTGACGTTGTCGCAGGATGCCTTGAATCACTTTTGATTTGCAATGAATCAACAGTATTCAAAGGGTGCTCTCCAGTAGCCCCACTGTCAGATTGTGCAAGAGTGCGTGTAGCAGCTTCACCAGAATGTTTTAACTTGAAATCATTGCCGGAGCTCGATTCGTCTGCTGCAGGAGACTTCCTCTCAGGGGATACCATCGGTGAGGCATTTTCAGATCGGGATATTTCCCCAGCAGCCACAGTAGCTAGTAGGTTCATTCCATCATCACCAAGGGACACAGATGCACTTGCTTCAGAAATTTTCACACAGCTTTCAACCAATGCATTCATCGGGCTTAATGAAGCATCATACGTCTGCCCTGATCTGGAAACAAAGCCAGATGAAGAACTAGTTGGTTTTGATGCTTCTTCTACTTTATCACCATCTTCATTTGCCCTGCAGCGCTCATCAACCATCGGAGAGCCCTTACCTTCGTCAACACCAATCAAGGCTTCATTAGCATCACATGCATCATTTGCTGTATTTGACACAACATGAGACTGCAAACAATCAGGTTTAGTTTTCACTCTTCTGTCCTGATTTTCATTCTTGTCAGCAGGTGGCGATGCTTTGCTGCACATAGTAGCTGGTTCTTCAAAAGAACCCCCACTAGCTCCCCTTGAAGGACTGCGACCAGTGTTTGGCAACCTGAGAATCAGTCGCTGATTGCTCCCTTGATCAGGAAGCGGCTGGTCAGCTGATTTTTCATGGGACACTCGAGTAGGTGATACTTTGTCAGAAGGTGAACTTCTAGTAGAATTTTTTGCAGAGCTGTGCTCCTTTTGTACTACTGCAACACCAGCACCATGTAAACCGTTGCTTGACTTCCGAGTTCGAGATGCACCCCCAGGAAGTTTGCTCGCACCCGTTGACATTGCAGTAGAGCTTTTTGCATCTTCCCTACAAGAACCAATAGTTTTAGCATGTTCACTAGAACAAGATATGCTGTTATTTTGAGATTGACTAGAGCTGCTGCTCCTCTCCTCCTTGATAGGTGTCAGCGGTAGATCTGACGTTGTGGCTCCAACCAAGACTTTAATGTTTTGATCTTTTGAGTTACTGCCCGCTGAGGTATTCATGGATTTTGTTGAGCCAGGGGATGCAGAGGACTTGGACAATGCTTCTCCAGAACTTAGCTTAGCTTGGGAATTTTTCGATATTGAGGGCTGAATTGCTGAACTCTTTGCAACATTCTCAGAGGACCCTCCTGTTTTCCTATTTCCAACATGAGGAGTGTCAGAAGCTGCTGGCTTTGCTGGCCAAGAAACAGTGCGGGTTGAACCAGTCTTTGAATCAGTCATATTCATTTCAATTTCCACACGCCTCTTCCACGTGTCTACTAAACTCCTAGCTTTCTTCTGAATTTCAGAATTTTTGTGGGTGCGTAAATAATTAACAGACTTTCCAACGTTACAGGTTTGTAGTGCATGAAGGTCCACAGGAAGCTTATCCAAAGCACGAAGTAAAGCTAAAAGAAATTCTTCAACCGACTTATCACTTTCTTTAGGCATATTTCCATCACCAATTTTTCCCTTATGAACCTCTTGCAGCCATTCATCCAACACAGGCAAACCCCTGAGCTGGACAAACCAGCCAAGACAGTCATACCGGTCTGTAAGTGCTATTACATCAACAAGCATTATCCGCCCAGCCAAATCTATTTTTTTATCAGCACTATCAGGTTGCATGAGCTGTACCAGCCTTTCAACTCCTTCAAAGTCCACGAGCCCACCTTTATCAGTTATTTTAGCAATCTCAGACTTTAACATGCTCTCCAGCCTAAATTGACCAGAATCTCCATCTTCTACCTTAAATAAGCGCTCTTTTTTAGATGAATCAGATCCCTGATCAACCCGCTCTCTCTTTTTGCCCTTACCCTGTGCACTAAAGGAAGAACTGCTTTGAACGTTGTCAGAACCAGATTTCAATGACTGTGTTGATGTTGGACCATTCAAGGGTTTCGGAGAACGGCCTCCTGACTGCACAGCCCCATGCATTTCTAGTTTTGTCTTGTCTAATAGCTGGTTAACTTCTTCCTGTCGTTCCTGAATTTATTCAGAGATCAGAAACTTCAAAACAGAAAATCATTATTGACAATTTATCTGGCAGAAAATAAAAAGAGGTAAGAAAACTAACATTAAGGTAGTCCTTATCAGTTAGCCACCATAAACAATTGTTCTCAATGTCATAAACTCGTCTACAGACAAATGCAGATATCCCTGAAGGAAGTTCAACACCTTTACGAAGAAATGCTACTTTACACGGATGAAGTAATGATGCAGCAGGTGTTTCATCCTTGTGAAAGGAGTAGAAAACTTCGTTTGGTGCAGCTTCCAGCACAATCCCTTTAGCAAGCTTCAAATCAGCAGGTCGGTAAAGCCAATTCACTTCTAAACTTGGACTTTCTTCTCTATCAAACGTTAACTTGCGAATTATTCCTATAAAAGGAGGGGAGTCCCTGGGTGGCTTGAAAAGTGCACAATCACCAACACGAATCTTGCGTCCATCCTACAATGACGAATGAAAGTGGTTAAACAAATCCATAATATTCAGGCAAGAGACAAAGGCTTAAAGGAAATCTGAATGTAGTTGAAGCAAATAAAATTGAGCGAAAAATTAAAGTTCTGAAAAAAAAAAAACACCATAATAAGCAGAAACAATATTAGATAAAATAAAAAGGAACGAGTCACAATAGAATATGCAAAATGCAGATAGCCACCATTACAAACAGCACATGCATTAAGAAAGGAAAACAAGACAATCATATATTGATAAAAATTTGGAATCGGACACAAAGCATACACTTCACAGACAGAATTTGCAAATATGTTACATAAATATTAGAAAGAACAAGCAATTCTAATTTAATTTTTGCAACTCATGTCAGTAAACTTCAAAGTTAACACTAATATTTTGTTTTTCTCATCGTGACACAGAAAAACACGACATCTGCAAACAGAAATCTGAGGGAGGAAAATGAAAATTTAAGCGTCATGAACAGCAGAACATCTACACACGAACAATTTTGCTACAACACAAAAACATCCAACACACTGTCGACCTTCATTGCTTATTCACTCAATAATACAGTAGACTAGTAAATCCCGCAAGGGAAAAATCATCCCCTATATTTCACCCAAAACCAGTGTTAGAATGTAGCTCAAGTAAAAAATGTAGCAACCAATCAATCCAACCATCAGAACAATGAATCAGTAAGAGAAATCACTTCTCTCAAATCGACAACAGCGAATCCCAAACGAAGTCAACAGGCTTACCAAATATAGCTCACTCTCAAATGTTAGTGAGGTTTTCATTATTCGAAGAACATCTAAGCAAGAGTACATCACAAAGACAACAGACCCAAATCAGCGAGAGAAAAACACGCAATTCCAACCCCCAATTCCCAAAAAATAAAACCAACACAAACCCTCATCTCATCCTATATTAAGATCGAGGGAAACCCACAAAAATCCCCATTAAGAAAAGGTAAAAACGAACACCCATCAACGATTGAAAAGAAAGAAAGAGATTAGGTCAAAAGGGAAACAAAAACATTACATAGGATTTTTAATTAAAAATAAGATAAATTTTTTACAATTAAAAAAACACAAAATCAAGTAGCGAGAAGGAAAGCGCGTGGAAATTCAATCGGAAGAAGAAAAGGGATGGAAATTGTTAAGATTTATATATACTTTGCATAAAAATTCAGACGGTGAAGAATCGGGGGCTACAGTGGTCGCGTTGGAAGGTACAGGCCACATGTGCCGGCTCTGTTTCCACTCCTCACCACCGGACCCATGCATAATCCTCCATCTTCCGAGTCGATCCCAGCTTCGTCCCTGAAAAGAAACATCAATTCGAAATCGAATTCCCACACCACGAAACCCTAGATTCGAACAATCGAAGGGGAAACCCTAGATCAAGCACGCGCTCGCAGATCTCCTCCTCCAATCCGCCATCTAACGAGTAAAGGGTCTTTTAGGGCTTAGTTGTCCTCCCAATTATCGGCGACGATAAGGGAAGGGTTATCTTCGTGTCACCCAGATCGATCGATCGCTCTGGAAATACCGAAAATCCAGAGATTTTGTGCGGATGAATCGCGACGATGAGAGAGAAACGGAGGATAGAGAGAGAGAGAGAGAGAGAGAGAGAGAGAGAGAGAAAGAAAGAAAGAAAGAGAAGGGTTAGGAGATGGCGATGCGCTTGGCTCACGCGAAACGGCGAGATTTTGAGAGAAAATTTTGTGAGAAAATTTTGGGTATTTTGGGTCTCTCAGATTATTAAGAAGAAAGAAAGAAAGAATAAGGAAAAAGGGCACCCAAAAAAAAAAATTTTGATTGATCGCCACGATTCCACCCTAAAACGTGGGCCTGCTAAACGACACCGTTTGCTGCTTCCGTTACGGACTCACATGTCTCTGCATTGTTTGTGCGTCTACTTTACTTTCCTCACTCTCTCTCTCCCCCGTATCCATGAAATGACACTTTTTCTTCTTCTTTTTTTTATACTGGGCCAAAGGCCCAATAGCAAGAACACCTTATCTGTTTATCCTAAAAGAAAATTTAACTGATGAAGAATTTTATTTAGAACTTCATAAGCCATGTTAATTAAGAAATTAGCATATCTATAGACTTATCTGTGTATGTGAGTAATGCTGGCAAATTTGCTATTTTTTAATGTCATGATGCATAGTTAGTAGGAAGTAACACAATCTAAATTTAATTTTTGAGCTGGATTATATAATTTTAGAATTCAGTTTAATCACCACTCATATTAGATATAGGTCAAGGAAATGAATATAGAGTTTTTCTTTAATTAAAGGATAGAAACTTTAATTGTTAATAAAGTTGGTTACTCACCTTGTGAATCATGAATTGATCTTCCATTAGTAGTTGCCCAATTATTCTTATAAATTGATTCATTTTTAGCCTATATGAATAAAATTCCATATAAGAAAAGAAAAGACATGAAATTAGACATAAGCATGTAAACATAGTTTAAAATAAGATACACCAAAGTCTTAAATGTCTCAAATCTAGAGTAGAAAATCAAAGAGTTCCTATTTATTCACATCATCTAGATAGTAATGTCAAAAGGTATATTTTAAGATTCTAAATATTTATTCATATTATTTCAATGAATAAACACAGTCACAATATCTAAAAATTTGTATCATTATTAAGAACCAAATTACATTTAGAAGAAACATCAAAATCAATCAAACCCTTTTTATTTCATGATTTGCTTGTCTGAATTCTCCCTTTAACTATATTTAATAAGAAAAAATTTCAATTCATCGGACTCCCAAACTACATCAAATGTTAGCTGAGAAAGATGTTTGTGTAATTTAATCCCTTTTTATTAAATTACAAGCTAACATAAAGAAGAGTTCATCATCTGTTAAATAAGACTAACTTGAAAAATCTTTTTCTGTTTCTAAACTAAGAGGTATGATACCAACAAATATAAGAGTAAAAATGAAGCTTTTTTTAATTATTATATTTCGATTGCAATCCCCTTCAATAGGAAAAAGAGCCACTTGAAGATTAATTTTTCCATATAGGATAAGATTTATTCCATAAATGATAAAATTGTTGAGTCCCAAAATTCATCTTCCTTTTCAAAAATTAGACATTAAACCCACTTCTATATTTCAAAACAAACCCAAAGATGTTAATTTTAAAATTGAAACGATTTGAAAAAATATATATATTTATTTATCATTGAAATATTATTTGAACATATAAAGAAAGATCCTTTTAAATTAAAAGTGACACTTTTATGTATTAATTTTGAGTGTCAATAAAATAATTTCCTATTAACATTGTGACTACATATTTGCGTGTTATGAACGTTTTTTATTACGTGTATATATTGAATATAACAAAACATCCATCTCCTCAATCAATTATCTAAGGAGTTATACCATTTTCAGTTATGCTTTACCACAATTATTAATGTATTAAGCGAGTTTGATAAATTTTTCTTACTAAGTTTTAATCTAATTATATTCTAAAAATATAATTTAGAATTATTGATTATAAATTCATTATAATAATGCCAAAATTTTGAACAATTATGTGATTTTTTTCACAAAGGCTTTTAAAAAATCATGTTATAGTAATATTTTTAAAATATGAACCAATGGGTTAATTTATCTGAGTCATAGGTTACAAAGGATTTGGCTCAATCTCATCTTATCAGATTTTAACGTTGTCTTAGAGGATGGATGTCTGGGAGTAAACTTTTGAGGGAAAAAAAGATGATTTTCTTTTAAATTGAAAATTTTATATATTAGTTATGATAATTAGTTGGACTAGTTATATTTATAGTTTTAATTCTTTAATTTATATGTAATTTTAATTTTTATAATTTTAATTGCTTATATTTAATTCTTCTAAATTTTTATTTTAAAAATTAAGTTCATAACCTCAAAATTTTATTCAATAAATAAACAAAATATAGTAAATATGTAATATATTATTAATCTTACACATTTTATAAAGATAAGAGCATATAAAGTAATTGAATAAAAAAAATTATTTAATATTTTTAGTTAAATATTTAACACATTTTTATTAGATGTAGTAAATAAACAATTCATAGATTAAGTTTATACTAATTTATTAGTTTTAAAATATCAAATTAAAATATATCTATTCATAATTTAAAAAACTATACTATTTTTTTCTCTCTAAAATCCTTTTTCAAACAATTCCTTAAGCTGCTAATGTACAAAACCCCCCCGCCCTTTTTTCCTTGGAAAAGTAATAATGTTTTACTTGTAATATTTTGCCAATTGTGTAATTTAAAAGAAAAAAAATATTGTTAAAACTCTCCTAATTAATGAGTGAATATGGATTTTGAATCAATCATCATCCTTTTTGGATAAGGGAGTGGAAATTTGTAATATTTTGAGATGCATTATAACCATTCTTATATGAAACATGAGACAAGTGATTTTGCTTTGATCTATTCTTTGTTTTTCAGAAAAAATCAAATGCAGCTTCAATGTTTTGGTCAAACACCATAGAGTTTGAGACCATAAACAAATTGGAATTAGATCTCTTGGTAGGGAGCCTAGAGTTAATTAGGTGGTTTAGATCAAATTGTGGGTTAACTAATGTATGGTATACGTGTAATATTTATAATCAGATAAGAAAATTTAAGAAAGAAAATCAAGGTAATAATAATATTGTTAAAACAATAATTTTTTTAATGTGTTTTTTTTCCCAATAATTTTTAATGTGTGTTTAAAGACATGTAATAAAAAAAATTATATAGAAATTTTTTATTAAAAATCACATGATATTACTAATTTAGATGCATTGATAATAATAAATGTTTTGATGATAAAAAATCATTAAGTTTTAGATGAATTCTATTATCTATTTAATGAGTTTGTAGAAGTATTTCAATATAAACAATTGTTTAAGAATATATGATTTGAGAAACATAAGGAACTAACAATTTGTAAAATAAAAATTGCACTAATCACCATATTTAAAAACGACAATCTAAATCAAATATCATAAAAGTAAAAAAAGTTTACAAACAAAATAGAATTAATCTAAAAAATAATATTATGTTTATTTAAAAAAGGCAAAAGAGAGAGAGAGAGATAAAACACACATGAATTTCACAAAATTTAACATTGAAAATATTTGAAATATCATTGTTCCATTAAATTTGATAACTGTGAGCTTAAACTTTTGATTCAACGAGGAAAATTAGTTCTACAATCAAAATTTTTAACCTTTTCTAAATATTAAAAATATAAACATCTGAAAAAGAAGTAAATGAATTTTGTTTGTATTTGTCACACTCAAGAGTCTTTAACCCTTAACCAATACTTACTTAAGTTTCACTTTAAAAAATAAGAAGTTTTAAGGGTTGTCAACAATTGAAGACAAGTATGATGTGCATATAATAGGTACTTGATAATAGTATTGTCTTTGCAAATGAAGGTGCACTAAGAGTCATAAAAGTATTGAAATTGGTACACAAAACAAGATTTAAGATCTGTTTACATTCATTCTAAATTATACTTTGTTTTCAATTGATGTATTGCTCTTTTGAGGTTAAAATTCTTAATTGAATGATTTAAGCGTTGCTGAACAGTCCTTTAAACTTTAACCTAAACTATTTTTTATAAGCAAAAGAAAAATCAAATTGTGATGGAAAACCAATAAAAGAAAAGGTTTATAAGTTGGATGGCAATTTTCATGGGCTAAAGTAAGTGTTTAAAACATGGTACGATGAGATCAATATTCTTCATTGAATAAGAATTTTAAACAATTAATGTTAAAGAAAAAAAATTAAGCATATTGGAGTTGTGTTTAAATAAGACATTTCATAATTTTTATAATTTATCTTTAAAGAAATTTAATTTTTTTCATTATACTTAATATTTTATATTTATTTGTCTTTTTTACTTTAACATCTCTCCCCATTACTTTTATTTTTTTTAAATTTTAAAATTTGTCATCCAAATATAACTTAAGTTAAACTAATATTCTTCTTATTATTCTTAATATTAATGTTGATGACTTGAGTATATAACTAACACCAAAATTGAGGATTAAAAAAATTAAAATAGAGACGATAAAATAGTATATGTCGTTAACTATTACATTATTTTCTTAGTGATAAATTATCGAGATAAAATATTTTGTAGTTGTTAAAAAATAACAATAAAACAAATGTTTTATAAACCTATTTACATCCTTTTCGGGTGAATCAAAAATGAAAATTTTAAAAACCATTTTTTAAAAAAAAATTTATTTACACAGTTTGATTTTGAGTCCGTTTGTTTCAGCTTTTTTAAAATAACAATAATTTTATTTTGAAAAAAAATATTTGTAAGATTTTTTTAATTCTTATTAATTTAAGGTTCTCTAACAAAAGATCTTAAATAAAATATAATTTTTATTAATTTTTTTACTGCTAAAACTACCATTGTCTCCCCCGTAATTTCAATGGCATTCATAAAGAAAGATTGATTTAATGGATAAGAAATTTTTTTATTAATAATTTGTAATTATTCCATTATATTAAATGTTAACTAAAGAAATTTAAGATGACATTAAATAAATAAAATTAAAATAATTTTTTAATTAAATAAATTATTTATGAA